ATCCCAATCATCACCGGCGTCCTTTTCGCCTGCATGCCTCGAAGATGTCGACCAGATATTAACAAGATGTTCGACCTCGTCATCTTGCTTCATGATTGGATTTAATCGTAGAACGCCAAGGCCGATTGTGCGATCCGCTGTCTGTACACCATCTGGTGGGCTGCCAGTTTTTGAACCTGCTGTACTTGGAGGTCCGGTGCCTTCTCGACTTTCGGCGCCGCTTGTTGAGAGTCGTTCGTCATTTTGCTCGGCAACAGCGTCCATCCGTGTCACAGGTGACCCTCTTGAAATGCCAGATCTTGAGCTCTTACCACCCCACATGAGACTCCTTCTTGTTGACTTCATTCCGCCCGAAGATGTCGGTTTCATGTGGTCCCTAGAGTATGGAGCCGATGGACCAGTTCCTGAGCGCGAGAGAGGCTGAGAGGGTATAATCTGCTGAGATGCTAGCACTTTGACAACCAGGAAGAGCTCTGTTTCTGCTGAAGGAACGTCGCCCACGTCTTGGGAGGATAAATCTGTGAAAAGAGTCTTCGTTTGGGCATGCTTGGCCAGGTTGACGATTGTGCCCCCGGCAGGAATTTTGACCGTAAACCCTTCTGAAAGAGTAGTAGGCTGACCATATTGAGGCTTGCTGACAAGGTAAAAAACAAGTGAGGTCTCTTCAATCGAAGCACCGGCGAAGCCCTTGATATCGACCATGAGATGGTGTAGAGCAGTCAATTCGACAATGGACTGTGGGGGCTCGTCCAGTAAACTCATCACAGACTGCAACTTGGTGACTTTGACAATACAATCGTCGGCTGTTAAGACCCTTCCCCGAGCTTCAGGGTCTCGCACAATGACTTCACCTCCACATAATTTGTTCACCCTAACCAAGTCCCAGACGGTCTTTTCACGTAAACGATCGTATTCGTGTGCAGTAAGAACATTATACAGAAACTGTTGCCGATGTAAGTTGAGGCTTGTGATAAGCTGAGAAAGTTGATCCAGTCGACTATATTGTCGGGAGAGTAGGAGCTCGTGGAGGTTGGTGGAATGCCATTCTCGAAGACATGAGGCGATCTCGTCTATTAAGGGTTCCGATAGCGAAGTTGGTGTCTCGTCTCCGATCTTGAGCATTGGTACGGGTGCAGCAGGGCGTGGAGCGTTGGGATCCCTATCCACGGGTATTGATAGGCTTCCCAGAGTGCCATTGAGGAGTTCCTTGAAGGGCGTTCTGCCTTTACTCGATATCGTTGACCTATTTCCATCTTTTCGGCTCTTGTGCGCCGAAATGTTCGTCACACCACTCTTGGCACTATCGCTCGCGCGAGGCATATCACCATCCAAAGCTGGGCCATCGCTTGCTGCCTCGTCGTTTTCGTCACCCTCTTCAGGCTCCCCTAGCATCTCGCGAACCTCAACACAGCTCCGTGGGAAAATTCCACTGAACACACGCGCCTCGAGTGTCTGGCCCTTGACAGAAGTCAGACCAGCCAGCAGACTGGGAGGGGCTACGAGGTAGCCGCGCAGCCAGTTGCCGTCTGGCGTCTCTTCAATAATGTAGAGCTCATCGCCAATCTCGAGGGGAAGGTCGGCAGGACTCGAAGCTGGGAAAGGGTAGGTCGCGACGGCGAACGCGATGCGGGGAAGAGGCTGCCAGGGCATTGAATATCGCAGGAGACTGGTACAGCTTAGGTATCGAGGAGGTTCGGGTTCACAGCCGCCAGAGCTGGCGTAATTGGAGGTTTCGCAGCTGGGGGTCGGCAACGGCGAGAAGTGGATAAATTTTAACGGTTCGAGAGAAAGTCGGGTCAGGAGTTTATGAGTTGGGCGCTTGGTCTTTGTTGCACTACTGAATTCATCAAGAGATTCAGATATCGGATCGCAGTGCCAGGAGCTGTCGTTAAACGTATGCCCCGTTAACCAATCGCAGGCTCATGGATCTTGAAATTGGTCCCTGCAGCGCAGTTCCAAGAAGGACGGGATATGATATGGCGTTGAACAGGCACGGGCACAGGCACAAGGTAGCGAGCGTTTGGCTCGTTGTTAGTCGAATTCTATTCGAATGCGCCGAGTTGATCGAAAGCGAGCGTTGTTGTTGAGTGAGCTGTTCAGTTTGGTTGGCAGGTCGCTCGAATCAAATTCAAACCCCCTGAGCAAACGCGAAATAGCTTGCGGCGGGTTTTGGCAAGGGTTCTAGATCGAGGGGTGGCCTCAGCCTTTTCGCGGGATGAATATGGATGGATGTTGGTTGGAGCGTAGGCTGCGAATGGAATAGTCAAGGCAGGGCTGCCAAGAAGGGCAAAAGGAACGTCAAAGAATTACCAGAAGAGAAGGGGACAATAGGAAAGAGTCGCTATTGTTGAATTGAAAGGGTAAAGTGCAGAATAGCACAAGTGATGAAACCAACGTTGAGATGGATCGATATGTGCTAAAGAGTCAAGAAAGTTGGGCTAGCATGATACCGTTCCAGGTCTCGGGAGGGGACAGAATGCGCCGGCTCTAGTCAAAGTCTGTAACAGTACCAACATATCTCTTACAGCATATATGGATCTCAATGTACTGGTCTAACAGATGTGAAGAATAATTGCTTTTTGAGCTTCTGGGATCATGCCCAATCTCAATTCCATCCCCGTCTCCACTGGTGCCTGCGGTATGTGCTGCAAGTTAATGAGGTTGTGGATCGACAACCCATGAATTTGGGGATTGGATGCAACTCGAGATTCTAGACGTGAAGAAAAGAACCGGGGCGGAATTAGCCATTAACATTAACGTACCGCTCCCCTGGAGACCTGCAGCCCTCTTTACCATTTTACTCACACTGCATGGGCCGTCTTACACACCACCAAGGTAACATTAATGAGACGACATCCCCAGCAACCGTGAAAGCTTCTGCGAGTCCGTGCAGATTCTAATACGATAAATGTTCAGATCAGACGAAATGCGAAATGCGCCCGGTTATCGAGTTGGCTCGTGCCAGTATAATCCACTCTCATCGACGGCCCGTGTATAAATCCTCTAGTACATATGATCTATCTCCATCTATATGCATGGTTCGCGTTAACATTCCCAACCTCTGGCTCTTAGTCTATCATCAGCATGAATCATCGTGCAGATTTGATTCCCTTGCTTTATTCTGGTTCCACTTCCTGCCCAGACTGCTACTGCATCGTGTGATGTTCAAGCCACCGGCTTTGATCAAAGGAATGCCCTGTCTTACATGATAACCTCAAAGGGTCAACCAACCTCCAAGGACCAACTGGCCGGACATAAACGGAATCATGTTTCCAGTGGCACAAAGAAACCAATACTTCACCCACCTTCTGACAGAGTGTCAAACGGATTGGTCGAACTCTTTCTTCGTGGGGCGCCCAATGACCCAAAGCGAACGACTACCCTACCATGCTGGAATTTGAGCCTCCCATTCTGAGACACCCCACGGAACTCAGATCCGTGGTGAGAACGCTTTATACCATCCTTGCATCAACCCTGCATTAGGCTCAAAACTCTGATATGTACCACGGCAGCACGGCTCATGGTTTACAAAGAGGCGTAACTTTGGGATCGTAGATTCCCGTGCCACCACAGGTATCTGAAACATCCATAACTGCATATCTTGAAAACTTAGTTGAATCGGGACAAGCCATTTATTCAGTTAAGCTGTTCTCTTCATTTCTTATTCAAACACGTTGACTCTATAATAGTGGCTATTCAAAGAAAAACTGTCTTCATCAGGTGGAACCCAACATGTTGGCATTAGCTCGATCACGCCAATACACACAATTTCAATCAACCCTGAAATCCCAACGATATATGTTGCTATTTCTACTTAGAGGAATTTCGGTTTAATATCGAAATTTTATTGCATATATTTATTACATATGTGATATGTGGAGGGAAAAAAGTGAATAAACTGTCAGTTACCCTGGACCAGTCTCTACGAAAACTCATCTCAACACCTTCACATCCATAGATCCACTACCGAGCTCGACACTTTTTGTTTACCTATTGACGGCATATGTATAACCACAACTATTAGGTGTGCCAAGTTCTGCCTTTCTTTTTCTTCTTTCCCTTTTATTTTTTAGTGATTACTATTAGGTTATAACTGTCACCTCAGGTTCAAATATCAAGCCTGACGGGGGTATCTGTCTCATGTATGAGTATGCAGCCTTGCATTCATTCACCACGAGCTTAATAGTTCAAGGTTGGTATGCCCAGAGCAGCAAAAAGGACAGACATTGGAATTGCCGGGGTGTTTAAGTGCAGCCGTCGGGTAATTCCTCTATCGGCAGTCGACCATTGAATAATATCAAGACCCCATGTCCTTAAGAGGAGAACCGTCGCGGGCGAATACCCACCTGACAACCACGTCAAGTTGATCTATCCCCAATCAGATCCTCCACTACACCACGGGCTTCTGATCATCGGTACTTAGACAAATTAGGATGGGGAACCAACCACCTTTGAGGTACACCAGGACAACACTCCGTGAAACTTTCAACTTCGAATGTTATGTCAGGGCAATCGTGCCATCTTACAGAAGAAGATAGCCAACTCGCTTGTCTTTCGAACGGTTCTAAAGTCTTATCCTAGCACTATACTGAACCAACTCACAAATAATATCACAACCCGTTCACCTCATAATCAGAGCAAACCCCCACACTGCAAGTTTCTCTCCAAGACTATGCCTTCGGTCATAATTCCCAATAAGGCAGCCCAAACCACAACGTCACGCTACGGCCGGGAATTTCTCTATAACCCGCCAATTCGATGTTCTCATACAGCCTCGTGCCAATGTAGGCCCTGCGGTTTAACGTAGTATCTCAGAAGCGGAGGTGTGAGAACGGCCAACTTATAAGCTGGCGGTTTCCCAGCTGAAAGATTGACCTCCTAGTCCTTGATCACCAGGCCCGAGCTACCGCCATACACCTGATACATTGTCCACCTCCAAGCATGTCCACTCTCTTATATCTAGCGCTGAATACTGACATCTGCTAGTAACATCAAGCAAGATGGTGCTCATTACTCGACTTCTATCGGGTCTTGCCCTTGCTTCAGGCATCCTTGCATCAGGCATCCTTGCATCACCTATCGAGCGTCGTGCTGTTATTAACCACGATGCTGTCGTTGGGTTTCCACAAACAGTTCCATCCAATACTGCTGGCTCACTCTATCTGAAGTACAAGCCTTACCTCAAGGTCTTCAACGGATGCGTGCCCTTCCCCGCGGTCGATAGTAATGGCAACACTGGGTATGTTAAGCTTAGATGTCCTTGAATTGGGGCTGACTTCACTGTTAGTGGAGGCCTGGCCACAAGTGGCTCCTCTAATGGAGGTTGCAGTAGCAGTCTCGGCCAGGTCTATGTACGAGGCGGGACTTACAATGGCCGCTACGGCATTATGTATTCTTGGTATATGCCAAAGGATGCACCCTCTCCCGGACTAGGACATCGCCATGACTGGGAAAACGCAGTCATCTGGCTGTCTGGTGAAAGCACAAGTGCTACAGTTGTTGGCATGGCAGTTTCTCAACATGGAGGATATGACAAGAGAACTTCTGGTACTTTCTCCGGAAACAGTCCCTTAGTGGGCTATACCGCCATCTGGCCTACCAATCACCAAATGATCTTCACCAACGATCAAGGTGGCCAGCAGCCGCTGATTGCCTGGGAGAGTTTGACTGATGCGGCTCGTACAGCTTTGACAAACACCGACTTCGGCAGTGCCAACGTCCCCTTCAAGGACGGAAGCTTTGAGTCAAACCTGGGCAAGGCAGCTGTCTGAAAACCTCACAAATATTCTCATGTGTGCAAGGGATGTGCTGAAAGGGGATTGCAAATGGACCAGAGCCTCTGATCTGACGAAATTCCTAATCCACATGTGTTAGTCGACATCTACATAAGTCGGTATTCTCATAACGAATATCCTTCAAAAGAAGTATTTCCAATAACCACGCCTGAATGAATGATTGAAGTTTCCAGATGTTGCATCATAGTTGATCCTGCGTTGTCGTTACTGTGATGGTTGTTTGCCACTTTATACCCATCCAATTACAATTATCGGAAAGCAGCCTGTCAGTGAGAAGATCATTTTCTAAGGGCTTCTTCACACCAATGACACAGCCAACAAGACTCACGAAATACGGTGGGCCGTTGACGAAACAAGCATGTGGGCCTGTTATCGTCGAAACACATCCTCTGCGTGTTAGTTGAGCTCAAGTAAGGGTCCACCCAAAAACAACAGAATGTGGTGATGATCTCTCTGATAACGGCTGTAATACCCTCTCGCACAATTCAAAAATACTGACTTTGAAGTGGCGAGCGGATGCACAGACAGATTTGCATTTTTTAACCAATCAGTAATCCATGTTCGTTTTTCAGCCATGGATGCTATCAGCGAAACTACTCAACTTCAGGATTAATTCACTACACATAGCTCGGTTTTGCTGTGCCCCCCGCGCTGTGGATTGACATCATATTTGATGTGTGCTTCCTAGGTATGCAAATGAAAACTCATCTTGATATTACTATCAACCGCGGCGCCTTCTTCGAGATCGATTTCTCGAAATTTCATTGTTATTATTCCTTCCTCAAACTACCCGAACCCAGCCGCAACAATTCATAGGTGTCTACCTCACCTGCCTTACCTTCCTGTCTTGCGCCTGCAACCCACTTGGTATCTGTCATCTCGACGTATTCATATAAATTCGTCTCCACGCTGCAGAGACATTTCTCACAATTACCGTCTTCACCGATATTACAATTAAACCTTACGGTCATCAAGTGCTACTTTCATTCAAATCATCCCAAAGAATATACTAGGCTACCGCAAAGAAATACTCAAAATGGGGACACCGTTCATCAGTCTCCTTGAGCCTAGCACGCTTGAGGGATACAAACGCGGGGCGCCTCTCGAAGAGCAACCATCGTCGATTTCACAGACTTTCCTAGATGCCATGGAAGTTCGCGAGCAAGTTTTTGTGAAGGAGCAAAATGTTCCGGCCGAGAATGAAGTTGATGATGATGATCCTCGTTCATGTCACTGGGTTGTCTACGCCAGCGTCAACAAGGTCGAGGAGCCAGAGGTTCGCGATGAAGAGGGAAATGTGATACAACCTCGGAAGAGCTCGACACGCTCAACACCGATCGGAACCATCAGACTGGTACCGTTTCCTCACGATCCACACCCAAAGGACGGGGGCAAATACTGGAACGGGATTCTCCAAGACGATAATGGTAACAGGGATGGACAAAAGAATGGCCACAAGAACAGGAACAGGAAGGCACCGTCGGGGATCAAGCCATATATCAAAGACCGGAAAACGACATTTCACAATGGCCAAGAGCCGTATGTAAAACTAGGACGACTGGCAGTGATCAAAGAGTTCCGAGGACATGCCATCTCTGGACTCCTCGTTAACACAGTTCTCAACTGGCTGAAAGCCCACCCATCGTACTTTAATCCCAACATCAAAGAAGTCGGCCTCGAACATCTCAACCCAGTCGGAGATGTCATGACAATTCCCCAATGGTCAGGACTCGTCTGCGTCCACGCGCAGAAGCAGGTGGTACGCCTTTGGAAGAAATGGGGGTTTGAGGTAGATGAGGAGATGGGCACCTGGTGGGAAGAGGGTATGCCTCATGTTGGTATGTTTCAGCGCTTGGAGATTTCAGAGACGATATCCCGTCAAGATTAGTTGCCCTCTATTCCCCAAAACAAGTCAACCATACCTCAGTTGTGAGTAGAGCACGCAAAGACAAAAAGTTGAGTTCTTCTCCAGAGGCGAGATCAGTTAGTTAAGTGACATGCGGAAAACCATAGAATTATAAACACAGGCAACTTTTGCTTATACATTGAATTTTAGTTCATTCACCTCTAAGGGAGCTCGACTTTATTGAATCTAGAGCCACCTAAGAAAATCCCTAGCCGCGTTCCCAGACCCGATGAACGCAAAATGCAATTCTTGAAAGAAGCCGGAACACGCCAAAGCCAACCCTTCCAATCATGATACCACCGTTGCACCTTTTATCGGTTGCTCTTGGCCACACGCTCCAACTCGTCCTTCTTCTTGATAGCGTAAGAGTTGCTGGAACCCTTGGCAGCGTTGATCAGCTCCTCAGCAAGGCACTCAGCAATGGACTTCACGTTGCGGAAAGAGGCCTCGCGAGCACCAGTGGTGAGGAGAGAGATAGCCTGGTTAACTCGGCGGAGAGGAGAGACATCAACGGCTTGTCGTCGGACGGTACCGGCGGAACCAATTCGGGTAGAGTCTTCGCGAGGACCGCAGTTGACAATGGCGTCGACGGCGACCTGGATGGGGTTCTGGTCGGTCATGAGGTGGATCTGCCCCTAGTGTTAGCACTCTGAAGGCTAAAAAAAATAAAAAAATCCCCCTCTTCGTGGGCTTCTAAGGTTGGACGTACGATCTCGAAGGCGTGGGCGACAATTCGGACAGCCATGAGCTTCTTTCCGTTGTTGCGGCCGTGGTGCATCAGAGAGTTGGTCAATCGCTCAATGATGGGGCAGTTGGCCTTGCGGAATCGCTTTGTGGCATAACGGCCAGCAGTGTGGGTGACGTAGACAGGGTTTCGCAGGGAAATGTAGTCACTATTCGTAGGCCATCCGTCAGCATCCAGTCGCGGATAAGTGAAGTTTTTGAAGATAATTTCTTCACCAGAGTCACAACGTACGTCAGGGAGATGTCGCGGACCTCGACATCGTAGTCCCACTTGTTGAAGAGCTTGACATTGCCAACCTCCTTGACAACATCCTTGGGGAGCACCTCATAGAGGGCGGAGTTCTCGACCTCGATCTCGCCGGCGTCAGACATTTTGGCTGTTGCAGTGGTCTCGGGACTGACGGGCTGCGGTTAGTGCAATTGTGATCGAAGTGGGAGGGAGTTCGAAATCGAAGTTTACAATGTGGGCGCAACAGAGATTCGAGAGAGACGACGGGAGGGCAGAATGTGCTTAGAGTGGGGCCAGTGCATCCAATCAGGGCAACCACTCACCTCGGGTCAGGGTCGCACCTTCTTTTTTCTTAGGGCTCGGCTGCCCTGCAACATCTCGGGTGGCTCTTTCCACTTTCCAATCGCGCAGTGTCAATCGAGAGAGGTCTTCGGATTGAACACCACACTTTGTCTTGTCCAACCCAGACAACAGCACATCAGACAAAATGGTAAGTCCATGGTGATGCCCTCCCTCTGCTGAGGCGGCGGCCTTTACAAACATGAATTTTTGACTGACTTGGACATCAGGCCCCCGCCGCTGGAGCAAAGAAGCAAAAGAAGAAGTGGTATGTATAAGGCGTACCGTCATCGACGATGTCCCCAAACTTACGCATTTCCAAAGGTCCAAGGGAAAGGTCAAGGACAAGGCCCAACACGCCGTCGTTCTCGACAAGACCACCTCTGAGAAGCTCTACAAGGATGTGCAGTCTTACCGTCTCGTCACCATCGCCACCCTCGTCGACCGAATGAAGATCAACGGCTCCCTGGCACGACAGTGCCTTGCCGACCTCGAGGAGAAGGGCATCATCAAGCCTGTGGTCACTCACAGCAAGATGAAGATCTACAGTATGGCCTCCCCCCTCTTCTCGCACGAACACTCTGGCCCCCCGATGCGCTATATCCGATCAACTGCTAACGTGACTCTAGCCCGTGCCGTCGGTGGTTCTGACTAAATGCAATGAACGATAAACTTGAGTCTCACGATTGTGCGTCTGGGTGGCCTGGACGATAGACAGGCCACATGGTCGGAGGGTGTTGCAAGGCGAAAAACAAAAGCCTGGTTTAGGACGCTATTCATGCTCGGTTAAGCATTGGGACGGAATCGCTTTAGCACACACGGCAACGGAATAAAAAATCTTCGAAACGACCAAACTATGGTTCTTTGTGATGCGCAATTATGTGTCCCGATAGTACGGGGTTGAACTATTACTGTGCTTGTCTTCCCACAACCATTCTGCAACTACTTAATCATTGATGGCTCGGGAACATTTGTGTATGCGTGCCCTTTGAACTTAGGCTTGACTGAACAATATGTAAACCCAACAGTCCTTGCCTACAATGCGTTGAGGGTTACTTGATCACCCGCACATGTGATAAGGTGATTCACTGGAGCAGGCGGCCGTTGCCCTGATGTCCTTATTGTCACTTTTGTCAACGGTTCCTGTTGAACTCGTTATCAAGGTATCTCTTCTACTGACATATCCGAGTTGATCTCCGAAATTGTAATGCTGGCTTGCGATTGAACTTGGACCCTCCAACAAGACTGAATTTTGACAGTGTGATCACCGCCAACCTGAAAGGTCTAACTTGGTTCCTTTCAGAGCCCATGTCTTATGATCGTGATCCAACAGCATGCAAAGAGGATTGACTGCACTACAAGTTGGTCCATGCTGAAGCGGCTGATGAGTCCATACGCCAACAAGGCATATTATGATAACCTGATATGGAGTGATCTCCTGGAGCAAGGCTCGCGAAACATAATTGCAAGATTGGGTCCGGCAGCTGCTGAAATAATAACTTCTCTGCTCCTTTGCACAAGTATGAGTTGGTATTCACTCTACGGCCTTCAGTAATTCGCCAGGAACTTCGTCGTTTGCCATCCCACACTCTGCAATAGCTCAACAATGCGTTCAGTTTGTGGGCTCAGACAAGCGCAGCATTTGCTACAACCTAAGATATGAAGTAAAAGTATCTGTCAGCACCCTGCAATCGCTGCTAGAGATATCGAGTTATGTCGCTGGTCTTCGTTGCTTGGATATTGCTGTAGTACCCAGTGTAGCTTCATTTCTCATTGGAAACTCAGTTTCAGCCTAGCATCCATCTTCGAAGCTTTCAGAGAAGATGAGGCTCTCGCAATGGTAGCGACCACCATGGGGAGGAAAATAATGCCTTGTTGTTGAAGCCTTTTAACATGTAGCACGTGACCATAGGAAACGCTGATTTGATAGTCACGTGTCCGCATACCACTCCATTGATTTCGCTGCGCCGTTGACAATCATAGAAGAAGCTCTTGGAGCATAGTGTACGGACGCGTGGTTGCTATAAACTATGTTAATATGTATGTTGATAAGAGAAAGGCATCGAGTGCATAGTTCCCCAAAAACAATTGAGGCAGTCCTCTTATCATGACTTTTCCTTTATGACCAGGGAATACACCCAAGAATGGGATCATACACTCTAACCTAGATGGGATATAGCCGCTCGGTCTACGGACAGATAGTCCATGGCATGTATTTCACATCGGTTATCCGAGGACGAACGGGGGAGGATTGGCCACTATGATAACCAAACGACGGTGAGATTAGAAAGATCAGGACAGCCTCAATACGACAGGGCAACAGCTATAACGTCAGTAGTAATAGTGTCTGGTTCACCTTCGTGGTAGCTCGACATCGAAGAAATTGCAACCTTTGAAATGGAAGACAGGAGACAGGACACCGTGGTTTCTGTCTTTTTGAGTGGTCAGCTTTTATAGGTTAATGGCTCAAAAGAGGGCCAGTAGAAGCATTTAGCAGGATCCTGAGCGACTTATAGTTGATTATTCGAAATGGACCTATATCAAGTCTTTCTGGAATATGAGAAGGCATAGCACGAAGCTATTGAGCTAATAATCATGAAGTTGTCGAATACCACTGTTCATGGATCGGATTGACTCGAGTAAACGGGCGTCCCGAGAGATAAGCTAGGGACATACAACCATAACTGGAGAGAAAATTCTTAGGTAGCCGAAACTGCATGACGATAAGCCCTTGTTTATACTGTACGGTACAGTGTATTTCCAAAGGGAGGTGGTGGCGGACCCTTCATTCGGCTCAAAGGGTATGAGCTTGTTTTTTGACCGAAGCCTGAGGAAAGCTGCGCTCGGGGAGCAAGAAAACTTCAGAACTTGATATGGGAAGCCAAAACAAACTTATTAAAAAGCCTACTAACCTTATGCAAATTTACCTAGGGCTATTTATTACTTTGGATCGAGGTCCTGAGTTTTCTTACTTCCCTAGAGCTGTAAAACCCTTGCTGGCCTCTATCATAGAAGCATAAGAAACGGGCAGACTTCTATTATGATCTAGTCATCATGAAGCTTCATAAACGATAATCAAGAAACTCCAATAGGAATGTATTTTCTCGTATAGTTTCCAACAACTTGTATACGCTTTTACGATGATTCCCCTTAAGGCAGCAATAACTATATGCTTCCTTTCATTTCCCAGTCTAGCCAGTATCACGAGTTGTTTGTAGCACCATGAATTCAATTATCCCCTGAAAGCGGCCAGGTTTTCTATTCAAGAATAGAACCGTTTTAGCTCAGTACCCTCCTTGTGGATCTTTGGGTCGGGGTGTGGAATATCACCGCCAGCAGATTTAGATTGTTTAATGATAGCTGGAGATCAACTACGCCGGGAAGTTGACCACAAACATTCAATTCTCAATCTTCGATCATCACATAGTGAACAATACCTTCAAGGACCCAGGAGACAGAGCCAATTGAGCCGGGATATGCGGCTACTCCAGTCGATCGCTGAGCTGGAAGCTTCCTCGGCTGTTGAACAGAACTGGCTCCGAGCAAAATTCTGAAGAAAAAAAAAAAAAAAAAGACTATTCCCCGTATTCTCGGGCAGCTAACAAACAGACACCAATTGGACGGATAGGCTGAACCAGGGGGTGCAAATCGGGGGAGGCGATGAGGGAGATCCAAGAGGACCAAGACCAACACAGCGTGGCTCACCTTGATTGACGCACAAAGCTTGCGCACTGTGCAAGGTGTGGAAGGCTTATTCGGGGCGATGCGACCGCTGAACAACAGCCTGTGGAGAGACCGGAAGCTAGTGGATTAGAGAACGAGCTGGGGCTAGGAAAGGTGGGTGAAAGGATGTCATGATGGAGGGAGGGATGGCGGAGAGATGATATCCAAAGTAATGAGAGACTGACGACATTTGATCGAGATATGCCAATTGCAGCACATGATGATAAGTGCGGCAAGAGAAATCATTGGAACCACAATGGACTGAAAATTGCTTTGAAATGATTTATCTAATGCTGTTTCTCATAAATGCTGTGCACACAGAAAACTTTTCCAGCTGCAGGGCAGGGCAGTGAACGATCATGGATGCTTCTGGGGGTCTGCTAATCATCTCAAAAGCCCATAGCCGTAGCCTACAGCCTGCAAACAGCACCAAACCTACCTACTGTATTGTACAGTACCCCATACAGTAAAAAATGACCCCGAAGAAGAGCTCCCATGTCTCAGGACGGGTCTAGGTCTCGGCGCTCGACAAAAAATCGGGGTGAACCGGCATCTCATCTTGCAGCCGGGCAGCAAGCTCAAACCTGGATTTGTGCCAGAAATTACCCACAATTCAGTCCACTGATTGCCACTGAGTGGCCACTTGTCCACCCCCTGAAAAAAGCTCAGAGGCACTCTGGGCACACGGGGCACACAGACCTGGGCGAGGCTGCGGCCTCAGGCTTCCAACCCGCACTGTTGCCGTGGAGAGTACAGGTTGGCTTGGTTTTGGTTGGCTGGGGGTCCCAGCTCCCTTTAGCGCGGGCCCGGAAAGATTCGCTCAAAAGCGCCTCTCATTCAGATCCGCCGCAATTTTTTTTCCCTCCCCCCAAATACCTCTCACCCCCCGTCGGCGCAGATTTATTTTCTCTCGACTTCTCCATTCTCTCTCTTTCTTCTTTCATCCTCAATCTCCCCTCAATCCTTTCTTCTTGTTCAAGGGAAAGACCTTCACAACCGCTACCATGTCTGCTGAGCAACCCCAGAAGGTCTTGGGCATGCCGGTAAGTTTCTTCTTCCTTTGATTACAGATCCCCTCGGCCGTGAAATGCCGCGGTATCAAAAGATGGCATCTTCATCAATTAGCCGCTTGCGAGTCTTGCGACGTATTCGATCATCAAATATGGATGCTTCGATTGCAATTCGCTCAGTGGAGACTGGTTGATGAATATATGATCTTTGTGCTTAGCTGGCATCTTCGCAGAACTGCGACAACACAAACAAATTTAACAGAGTCAATTGCTAACATGATTTTAGCCCTTCTTGGCCGACTTCTTGAGTATGTAACCACGTCGCTATCGTTTACCAGCATCAATTTATTGGGCACCATGCCTTTTGTCGTGCTAGACGAATAAACACCTCGTTCATCATACTAACTACTCACAGTGGGTGGTGTTTCCGCCGCCGTCTCGAAGACCGCTGCCGCTCCCATTGAGCGTGTCAAGCTCCTCATCCAGAACCAGGTCAGTCTAACATTATCACGCATGCTCAATCCCATCCACTAACCCCCAGCAGGATGAGATGCTTAAGACCGGTCGTCTCGACCGCAAGTACGCCGGTATCGGTGACTGCTTCAAGCGCACCATGGCCGATGAGGGTGTCATGTCCCTCTGGCGAGGAAACACCGCCAACGTTATCCGATACTTCCCTACCCAGGCTCTGAACTTCGCTTTCCGTGACAAGTTCAAGAAGATGTTCGGTTACAAGAAGGACAAGGATGGCTACGCCCTCTGGATGGCTGGTAACCTTGCCTCCGGTGGTGCCGCTGGTGCCACTTCGCTCCTCTTCGTCTACTCTCTGGACTACGCCCGTACCCGTCTTGCCAACGATGCCAAGAACGCTAAGAAGGGTGGTGACCGTCAGTTCAACGGTCTCGTCGATGTCTACAAGAAGACCCTCGCCTCTGATGGTATTGCCGGTCTCTACCGTGGTTTCATGCCCTCCGTTGCTGGTATCGTTGTCTACCGTGGTCTCTACTTCGGAATGTACGATTCCATCAAGCCCGTCGTCCTTGTCGGTAACCTTGCCAACAACTTCCTTGCCTCTTTCGCTCTCGGCTGGATCGTCACCACTGGTGCCGGTATCGCCTCTTACCCTCTTGACACCATTCGACGACGCATGATGATGACCTCTGGTGAGGCCGTCAAGTACAAGAACACCATGGATGCTGCCCGCCAGATCGTCGCCAAGGAGGGTGTCAAGTCTCTCTTCAAGGGTGCTGGTGCCAACATTCTCCGTGGTGTTGCCGGTGCTGGTGTCCTCTCCATCTACGATCAGCTCCAGGTCCTCCTCTTCGGCAAGGCCTTCAAATAAGCGCTTTGTATAACATACCCTGTATAGACGAGTGTGTGTGGGATAAGGAATCGGGGAGAATCTTAATCTGCGGGCTTGACATGGTGTCCGCTGGTTGAAACTAAAAGGCGAGATCGAAGTGCAGGTTGAGGGAAGTTGTCACAGATACCCGACGTGGTCCTCTGAAACAGCAGCTCTTTACGGGTTAGAGTGGCATAGGCACGGCGTCTTTTTCTAATCTTGCTTTGCCTTCCGTTCTAGGCCGCTGTAATTTATACACCAATGCAATTTCCCTTTACTGTCCATCGATTGTCCACTGATCCTTGTGATGTCAATTCGTTCTTGGTAGTTCTTTTATCATTACTTTATTTCGCGATAGTGAGGCTATTTTCTTCCTGTGATCCGAACCTTGACGTTGTGCGCTGACTAAGCCATCATTATCTAATATGAAGGCTCGACGCGGTTACCAAAGCAATTCTTACACGGAGCAACAACTTTACGACGTGGAATCCTAGCTGTCCTTTAAACTGTTGCCATGCCCCCAAAGCAAACATCAGGTACCGGCCGTGGCCGACCAAAAGCCACAACCAAGAAAGCCGCCAAGGCACCAGAACCTGAATCCGAACCGCAATCGAGTAACCCATTTGAGCTCTCAGATGACGATAACAACCAAAACAGGACCTCAACGCGCGAAGCACAAGTTGTAGAAGAGGAGGAACCTGATAAGTCGATCCCGCCAGAGCTGCTAACACGGCTGCTGCACGAATTTTTCGCTAAAGATGCGACGCGGATATCAAGGGATGCAAACGCTGCGGCGTGCAAATATTTTGATGTATTTGTGAGAGAGGCTATTGCCAGGGCGGCTGTCGAGAAGGAGGGCGGATTCCTCGAAGTTGAGGACCTGGAGAAGGTATCGCCACAGTTACTGCTGGATCTTTGAGTGATATTAATTGGTATCTCTTCTCCGAGATGAACAAGAGTTGAGGTGTTCTATGGGTACGCATCTGGGGACAAGCACTGGCGATAATCGCGCATGATTAACGCCTTCATACATAGAGCGCAAGGTGCCTCTCTGAGACAGTGGCTTCCTATGTCGCACTTTGACGATAATCTGGGTATGTGTATATAGAAGGCAGTCGACCAACTCGCTTTCAGACATTAACATAGTAGCAGTCGAGTCTTGAGACCTTGAAACCTATCATTACCGCAAGGCAATATCTCCCACCAAGCCTTACATCTATCTCAAGCTCAAGAAAGCAAGAACGGAGGATCATCCGATAGATACAACGGTCGCCTGCAGTCTGGTGTTTCCGACTGCGTCAGCCCAGATCGTTCATATTGGCGTTGGCAATTACATCCCCAGTTTTTCTGCCTCAAATACGTGATCTTTCACCAGGTATGTTCGAGGATACGGAATCCTTGATTGAGGGCTGTCTAGTGCCAGGATGCTGGTTGGCAGGTTGCCATATTACGAGATGTTGACGTTGTTCTAGGTCAACGATGCTCATGTTATTATATTGACCTGGGTATCCATTTGCAGAGAAATGGGGGAGATCACTGCTAGCTGCGAATACCCATATAATTAGCGGTCGTAAACAAATGGGTTCCAAGCGTTTTGTTCATATGAAAGAATAATCGAGGCGTATTCACAGAGTCAACCGGACGAGCATGTTGTAATGCTCATGTTTCCAGATTGTAATAGGTTATGTATTTACAATGACTCCTGAAACCCCATCTTCTTGAGAAGAATCACATAATCCGTAACCTTTGATCTCCAAGCCGCTCTAATGTCTACAATAATGGCGAGCTAAATGGGGCGTGGTGTTATTCTTTGCCGTTCCTGTTTGTTGCACGCAGTCTTGGGCGTCGGTAACTGTTCTCGTACTTTATTCGAAGCCAGCTTTTCGCCTAAGAAGTTTCATTGTGTAAGGTTTGAAAGTTGACCCCGGTTAAAGAAGATCTTTAGCCACCTGGTGATCTAATTGAAGTTCGTTGAAGATTTTGTCCAATATATAATTGTATTAGGAAATAATCATAGTACCAACAAAGCTGGGGTGTTTCGAAACTCCAACGCCTCGTCCCCACATAGGTACGTTTAGAATCTGCAACCAACACGAAACGTCGCAGCTCAAAGCAGACAAACCAGTGTAACACCAGCGCAGACTCGAATAACGTTATTTTGCTTCAAGAGAAAGCCAAGGCCTTGAAGTTTCAAATTGCCATATGGTAGCTTTACACCCATGTGCCCCTTTAGCCTTTTAAGGACCAATATGGCAGCGAAACTATATTCGTCTCAAGATATTACGGATGAGGCACTTCCGAAGCAGACGAACCCCTGGTCGATCTGCTCCGACACGGTTGGGCCTGGAGCCGAGGCCTATAGTCACCGAAAATATCTGATTGTCATGGTATAGGTCTGAATAGTACACATACTAAGCGCCATGGGTTGATTTCTCGGCCTTGTAGCTTGACTTAATCAACAAAATGAATACCCTCACTTCCAACAGAAAGACCACCAGATCAATGCTGACGATGGAAACCCGAACAAGAGAAAGCAATCATGTTTGTTTGACCGAGTGGCGATGGTCGCTCTTCTGTATTCAGTTCCGAATATTATGTCGTTGAGCTCGATATCAGAACCTGACATATAGCCTGGGTAGTCCCAGAGCCTTACCAAAGCTAGCCAAGCCATACCCAGCACTATTTGTTTCATTCCTCAACTCTTACAGCAAAGCCTTGTTGATAGTGTCTCATACTACGCCTGTCCTGTAAGTCTACCGAGGAGCCGAGACGGAAGCCCCAAGATCCATCTTTCGGCGCCGTTGAGAGGCGTGCTTCAGATGTGCTTCGAAACTCGTCATCAGGGTCAAGACCATAATAGGCCAAACCCTGAGAGAGATGTATATATACCAATCCGTCTCGTCTCTTTTGTTTTGTTTCTCCTCATCTCTCTATCTCGTTCCATAATCAACAGTCTGGCCCTGTTCCCATTGGACGCGTTTCCTTTGTCCTTTCAATCTTTCATTAATTCTTCTTGTTACTTTCTTAGACGAGGCTAGTCCTTGAGAGCGCGAGTCGCTTCTTTTCTTTGCTCCCATCTCTGAACATCCCTACCAGAGTGCCCTTCCTTTGCCTCTACCAAATACCCACAACCCCAAATCTCTAATCATTATGTATTTCTCACAAATTGCTATTGTTGCCCTTGCGGCTGTTGCTGAAGGTATGTGCTCATAAAGCCACGACAGAAGAATCAACTAACATCTCTTTAGCCGTCGATGTCCAAGTCGTCTCGGTTGGCAGAAACTCAGCAACAAATGCCACTGGCCTCAAGTTCTGGCCTGAAAAGATCACAGCAGAGCCAGGAACGATGGTTCAGTTTCAATTCTGGGCTGGCAACCACACAGTGACGCAGTCTACCTTTGACGACCCTTGTGTTCCTATCGGCAATGTTATGTCAAACGTCACTGGCATCTACTCTGGCTACCAGCCTGTTGAGGCTAGCATGTCCAAGGGCATGATTCCCACTTACACCATCATGGTCAAGGACAAGAAGCCTATGTGGCTCTTCTGCAGCAAGGCAAAGCACTGTCAGGGTGGAATGTCGATGGTTATCAACGAAAAGTGAGTCTGCTGCGACCTTCTGGCAGTGTTCTTTACTAACCGTCATATAGCACATCTGCCAATGCTACAAGATCGCTCAACAACTACAAGAGCCTCTGCAGTTCAGCTACAGTATCCGAAGTCGTTCCTGTTCAAGGTGGCGGCTCCCCACAAGGTGGAAATGGTGGTAATGGCACCAACACAGGCGGTTCTGGCGGTGGCAGCTCTGGAGGTGACGGCTCCGGAGACGATAGCTCCGACGGCGGCAGTAGCTCCGGCGGCGACAGCTCTGATGACGGCAGCTCCTCCGGTGACGATAGTTCCGATGATGGAAGCTCTGATGACGGCTCCGAGGATGGCTCTGGCACGCCAACTGGCGTCGCGACCCCTGGAGCTACTGGCACTCCCACAGCTGGGTCTTCAGGCGATCCTGTGGTCACTGCTGCTGCTGCTGAGCTCAAGGCCCCTATTTCGATGCTGCTAGCAGTCGGTGCTGCTGCTATGTATGTGCTTTAAGCTGAGAGTATGATGAACTTGTGTATGGATAGACATAATGCTGGGAACAATTAATGGGGATATTTGTACCAATTGCTGGAACGGTTGGGCAGCCTCGGGATAGGCACAGTCATCAACGGTGTTTACGGCCGGGTTCAACGGGAAAGTGTATCAAGGTTGAACGTTTAGATACAACCAAGAATACCCAAAAACTATTAGAGAGATCATCTTCATCATCCCTTAATTTGAAATTTTGACGCTTCCACGGTCGTATATAATGCTTGTTGAGCTCAGTTGTAATTGACAAAAAATAGATACATGCTAACCAGAAATCTACAAATACAAAATTGCCAGTATGAGTAAAGATCACTCCTTCTTAGGAACCTTTCTCGTCTTTCTGCTTCTCTGAGCCTGGTCGCAAAGCTTCTTGGGCTTCTCTTTCTCCAGCCAGTCAGGCTCTCGATACACATATCCTACCTTTGTGTACTTCTTGCTGTTGGCAAAGAAGTCAACCCAATGCTGGAGCGCGGCGTCGGCCTTCTTTTTAGCTTCCTCTCTCTCCTTGATTTTAAGCTCAGCAAGTTCCTCAGGTGTCCAGTTAGAGTCAACTTCAGGATCATCGAGAGGCAGGAAAGTCTCTTCGTAGCCACGGAGATCGGCGGTCTGGTCCTCAGCAAAGCAGCCGGTCACGAAGCCGCGAGCAGCATCGGTGGCAGCGAAGTAGCTGTATGAGCCGCCTGGGCCGTACATGCGGCGGCCGTTGGAAACATCGTAAATCGTACCGTTGATGGCAAGGAGAAGAGGTCTATCGGGGTCGGTACCGTCGTGGAGAGAGAGTTCCTCCAGAGTCATATAGACAGGTGGTGGCTAACAGAGAACCATAGTTAGTAATAGTCTGGCGATAATCATAGATCTAACGTACAGGTCCAAGAATCAAGTCCTTATAGAACCTTTGGGTCATCCAGTTAGGCTTGTTCTTGTGTCCCCACCAAAAACTTTCCCCTCCGCTGATAACATAGCTTAGACCCATTGAGGCCACGATAATGAAGCTGATGACACGAACGACATCGAGGTAAGGAGAGTAGCCATCCCAAGGGTCTTCTTCATCGACCTGGGCCGAGGATCTTTTCTTGCCCTTTCTAGTCGGAGTCGAAGGTTGAGAGACTTCAGATTCGGTCTCGTTCTTAGGCTGAGGCTTTCGCTGTCGCAGAGTTGATTCGTCCGCCATCTTGACAAGTAATTAATATGGATGTTTGACAAAATGAGAGAAGAAATGCAGAGAAGAGAATCAAAAGGAGACAAAGACAGATTTATAGAAAAGAATGTTACAATAGGGGCGATCTTAATATAGAGTGGCGTGTCCTGTCACCTTGACCTGGCCTCTGCTCGGAGTCGGAAGCTTCAACTTTTTCCCTTTTCCATGGATCATTTGAGTTAACTTGCGACATTGGACAGCTTTATCGTGATTCTGGCACGTCTTATCAACCAACCCACTCCACTTCGCGGGGTCAGCCACAGTTGAAAACAGTTGATTGGAGCGCTGAGCTTTAAATATGCTACGAACACACCACTAGGGTAAGTTATCAATAGAGCATTCAAATTGCTCGCATGAGGTCACCTGACGTTGTTTTGATCACCACAGCAACGAGTTGCCCACCCAATTAATACACACGAAAGTGGGATGGTAAACAATCGATAATACACCAGCACCACTTTTACTTAACTTGCCTTATCACAACACACTAATAACCTTCAAGTCAACTGTCGACCCTGCATAACGGCAGCCACTTGCGACGAAACTCAATCAGTTCAGTTTGATACTCCATATCCACATCCACGTCTACATCGAAATTATATTTACCAACAATGGAAGAGACAAACAGTCCACCGGGCTCTCCGGGCGGCCCTCTCCAGGTCGCCACTGCAGACCGTGTGAATCAACAAAGAGAGCGAGAGTCCGTATTCTCTCACCTTCGTGGCGGTTCAAGAGATACTTCCGTTCATGATAAGATCAGCCAGTTCAACAACCTTAGTGTGACCATGCAATCAAAACAGCTAGAACGCAAGACAGCAGATGCTGCTTTGAAGCGCGCCATGCTTGGCCGCGAAGAGGCCGAGACTGAGTTGCGCAGATACAGAGAGGAGAACAAGAATCTACGAAAGGCCATCGACGAGGGTAAAGAACGTGAGCGAAAAGTCGGAGAGCGTCTGGAGTCGTTAATGGTAGGCATCTTCTGAAGCCAATGTAAACATTGCATGTTGACCATGTCATAGGAGAACTATGGCCGAGCAAAGGAGACCCATGCACACACACAAGCTCTATGGGAAAAGGAGATACGCCGCGCCCGAAAAGAGACATTCAAAACCCAATCATCAATCGTCAAGCTCCAAGAAGAACTCAAGTCAGCACGCACAAACGCAAAGATGATCGACGAAAACCTCAAACGAGAAAAATCCAGGAGCAAAGCTCGAGAGCAAGAAGCATTCGAGGCGCGTTATCAGATCGTTGGCGTCCAAGAACAACTAGACCAAGCACTGGAGCGTATCAAACTCGTCGAGCAGGAACGTGACGCCTACAAGACCGCGGCCAAGAATGAGGAGGTTGCCCGTATCGCTGCCGAAGGTCGTATCCCTCTACCGCCACAAGATGCCGACGATGAGTTTGGTTCTCCTAACAAGGACAAGAGGCGAGTGTCAAGAGATCCCCGAGTATCTCTATCGACAATGGACATCGTCTCCTCAGAAGCTAGTGAGGTTGAGATTGAGGAGTTGTCCATTCAGTTGCAGTGGGAGCGCCAAAGAGCAGACCGTGCCCATGAGATGATTGAATTCTTGCAGGCCGAATGCCACCTCCGTTGCTGTGCTTGCTCTAAGTCAACCCGCCGTACCAGTGCTCAGGCCCCTCGCCAGAAACGCCGAAGCTCTTTTGGACTGGAGGGACCAAACGACAAGGTCCTCAAACTGGATAATGAGGCAGTAGAAGGCGAGAAGCGTGCTACAACCCCTCCCCATATCGAGGAACCCCAGGCCGAACCTGAGACAGAAGCAGAGCCTGAAGTTCAACCCGAGCCAGCCCAAGAACAGTACCTCCAAGAGCCCCCTCAACGTGTCATCAAATCCAGGAAAGAGCCCCGTCGAAGCACCATTTTCTGTCCTAAAGAGGGCATTTTCCGGACCGTTTCGGAGCAAGAAGCCGAGGTCATTGAGGCGCAACGTAAAATTGAAGAGACTGAGGCCACTGCCAAGGCTCAGCGAGACAGTCATGCTGAGAGCGAATTTCAGGATGTTGACGAAGTTGTGATTGAAGAGCAAGTTGAGGCTGAAACCACCATTGGTGATAGCACTGAGATGGAGCCTCGTTACTCTGGCGAGTATGATAACTACCGAAGATACGCACGAACTCCTTCAGTAGAGCCTCCAGCCTTCGCCATGCTCGCTCAAGAGAGAACATCACTCGCCTCGCTCCTCAACGCTCCTCACAGTCACTCAGCACCTGTTCCTTCAGTACCAACTATGCCAGACGTGGCCGAGGATATACTTGTCTCTCCTGACACTCGACCTCACACCACAAATGCTTTCTACACCGTCACCACTACGACAACCGTTCCAGTTCACGACGACAAGGTCGGGAACAGTGCCTCCTTCAATGAACGTCTTCGCACGCCATCCCACAACAGTACAGGCACCACCTTTGACATGTCAAATCCTGCTCTCACCCCGACCATGACCCGCGAGCAGGCTCTCGCCAAGATCCGTGAGCGTCGTGGCCGTGCCCGCTCAATGGCACAGGGCACAATGACACCCAGCCGTCGAATGGTTGAGGGCGTTGAGCGACGAGATATGAGTGCTCCCACAGGCAAGGTTGCTGGTAAGGGGCGATGAATGTTGAACGACGAAATTGTATGAGCCATGACACGACTTGACGAATGCCCTACTACTCTTCACATTCACCCCTATCCTCCCTCCTGATACTCTCTCTTTTCCGACCCGGCCCGACCATTCATAAAAAGTTCTGGCTTTTCACGTCTCCCGATGGGCCTCTATCTTCCCGCTCACCCTTTAGCCCATCACCATTTCTCCTTTCCTGCAGGGCGAAGGGGCGTTATTGTGTTTTCTCTACGTTGAATTATTGTTGTGAAGTCACTTGGGACTCAAGAACATGGAGCATCATTGAGCGACTTTCCATTTTGTTTCTATTACCGTTTTCTGGATGGTCTCATGGATTCTCATGCCATGTATCAGACACAAAGTCTTTTGTTGGTTTTGGTCATGATTAATATGTTTTGGCTGGATTGTGTACAGATTGTTTATTCCGTATTTGCAATAACACTATAAATGTGTCAAAATACCCCCGTTCATTCACGGACATTCTGTTTTGCGTGCGGCATCTCAGACTATTAAACGTGTCATAGATGTTCGTTATTATTCCCGAGATGCCAGTTACTGATATATATATATATATATATATGAAACCGTTTTTTTTTCTCGCTTCACTAATAATGTAAATGCCATGTGAGATAGACTAAATTAGCTTCCCAGGAAGCTCCTTGACATGTTACGCGACAATTGAGAGCTCATTGCATCAAGCTTGGCTGCAACAAGTATACACTCAACACCCCTACCATTTGGTGCATTCTGAATGCGTAACCTCCATTGCCCTGCCTTGACAACCCACTCCTCATCGCCTGAGTCACCATCAGCTCGTTTTCGCTTCCGGGGATATTCGTTTGTGGAAGATTCGGACGCCGCAGCATTGATGAAATCCTCGAGATAATCCTTCCCATCGAGAATAATGGCGGATTCAGGCTCGAGGACTATACGAACAAGATCTTCCTTTAATAGTGCATTTCCAAGGTTTGTCGACTGTCCATGGTTTGTGAGAAGTTCAGTTTTGATCGGTTGGGAAAAGTTTATCTTTGACGAGATAAGCTCAAACAACTTCGCAACTCGAGCTTTGGTGTCTCTGAAGAACTCTGCCCTGGCATTGCCTCCTGAGAAATGAAGCTTTGTTGTTTCGTCGCCAATTTCGAGGACCAGCTCAGCAGGCTTCTCGTCCACATAAGGTCGAGCGTATTGCACAAAGCCGGTCAACGGGTCTGTATTGCTGATAAAGACACCAACACCACTCTTCTGTATGTTTTCAAGACGAAGGACAACCTCATTACGTCTCGTGGCTTGATTGTAACTTAGCGAATGTGGGATAAGGCGCTGCTCAAGGCCCTTAAAGTGGAAGTAGCGCGCATCACTGAGGAGATCCTGGCGGTGAGCTTCATCGCGTATTCGAATAGGATATCCACGGAGAAAGTGTAGGAGCTCGGCGAATGTATCAGCGCTGCGCTTCGGAACAGAAGGAGGGAGGATCGAGGGTGGACGAATAAGACCTTCGCGGTCCAGGCCGGGGAAGAGATCGTCCGGTCGTGAGAAGAAAGCTGCGAAGCCTAGGGAGAAATAGTTCGGGGAATTTCCTGGGTCGTTGAAGATCTCGCGAGGAATCTGAAACTCGCGATGGCCGATGGAGATGAAGATACTCTCCTCGTAGAGCTGGGAGATTAGCTTGGGCACTGTATACCCGACATGTCAGTCCAGAATCTGGGTCGCAAGATGGAGACGACCAACAGCTGTAGAATTGCGCATCGGAAAACAGACGCACAAAGTGCTCGCCGTCGCGAGGCTGAACGTGGTAACCCTGAAGGTGGAGAGAGATATCGCGAAAGATGACTGGGTCGCGATCGATATAAAGCGTTCGGATAGCAGAGCTCGACTCGTCATTCCGGTCCTTTGCCGATTCCAACTGACAAACAAAGTATTGAGAGAAGTATGAAGGTGCTGCGAGAGACGTTAGCTAAGAATCACGAGATAGACAGTCGCACCAGCGCAATGCGACAAGTCAGTTGTCGCAAAGAGAGTTTTAAAGTCAAGACTCACCGTCTGAGGATAATGATGCCCCCGAGAGCTTAAACAATTCGCTGCCGATTTGAATTGGAAACACGCGCTCATGAGGGAGAATAAGCGGGATCCGAGAAACGTTGCGCTCTGACAGTGGCTCAACAGTTAAATTCCCAGCATCGGAGGAAGCAGTTGAGGTCATTGTAACGGTATTCGTATGGCGATCTCGCCGATCTTTCGAACGTACAGCAATTTCTCGGTGGAATGCGACAGCAAGTTCACAAAATACAATGCCTCTTGGGCCCAAAAAAAGTTGAAGTCGCAGCGTAACGTTTTAACGTTGATAAGCTACCGGTAAGGTGTAAATTTATCCGGTGACAGCTCTGAGCTTACACGAGGGCTGCATGAGCTTGCGCCACTAGACATGGATAGTGGCTGACAGATACATTATTAACAACTTACGAAGTTGCGGCGCTTGGGTTTTAAATCATTGTGAAGATGCCTAATTGGTTTCATCTATGTTCTATAAAACGCCTTTGATACTTATAGCACAGATAAGCGTTGTGTAACATCGTACATCCAGCCCTCAATGTCAAGGTCAACTCATTATGTCCTTTTGTAGACGCCGCTCGATATCCCGTATAAATTTTGAAGATTATCGGCTCATCAACTCAACTCCGTTTCGGACAACTCCAACTACTGCTCCAGTCTGGATCGATTCGCTGCCTCCACCGGCGACTCTATGCTCGATATTGGCGAGACCATCCAGCCAGGTGATCATCACTTCGGGGCCAACCTCTAGCTTCACCAACTCCTCAGAGAGCGCTGTGATAATATCCGCTAGCGCAAGACCTCGCGACACCTTGAGAGCGTTGATAGTGTTTAGGCAACTTGTGACATCCGATGTCTTGAGCAGCGTCGACACAATCTCTTTGATGGCATCGGGTGGGGGTGCCGCAATGCAGTTGTAGATAGTCTCCGTTGTGATATTTTCGCGTTGAATCTCGCTGTCAGGCACCTTGGGTGCATCCTTCGCTCGCAATGGTGTACCTGAGCCTCTGTTAGCGGTTGCTTTGGGGAAAATCAATGCATGCAGACTCACTTGATGCGTGACAGGCTTGTAGAACGTTCAGTGCTCTTCGCATATCACCCTTGCTCAGCTTCACCAACGCATCAACCGCCTCTCCTCCAATCCTGACATGCTCTTCCTCCACCACCTTGTCAACTAGAACCCTAATATCGCCCTCCTTCAGCGGACTGAAGCGGAAACGTGTGCATCGACTCAGCAGCGCTGGGCTAAGCTTGTGGGAATAGTTTGCAATAATACAGAACCGTGTGTTGGTGGTGTACTTCTCCATAATTCGTCGTAGAGCCATCTGAGCTGTGTTCGTCATAGCATCAGCCTCATCCAGAACAATGAGCTTAAATCCAGCCATCGAGTTGCCTGAGCGGGCAGAGGCAGCACCCATGGAGAAGATCTGTTTGGTACTAGCAAATGTCTTGATCTGCTCTCGCACTACATCGATACCACGGTCATCTGAGGCATTGAGTTCGAGAACCATCTGGCGCATGTTTGCAGCTCCATAGATACGACGAGCAAGGGCCAGGATTGTCGACGTCTTTCCAGTACCTGGAGGGCCGTAGAGGAGTAAATGAGGGAGGCGGTTCTGGTCGATGAATTTGTTGATAGTAGCGAGGATATCTTGATGGCCCGAGACGTCATCGAGGGTGTTTGGGCGGTACTTCTCAACCCTGGGCTCCGTTAATCCTTGATCTTTGATAACATTTGTTACAAATACCTACCAGGGGAGGCTATCCTCAGCTTCAACTGGTAGATTCGCAGCACTTCGCTTGCCTTGCTTGGTTTCAGAGGAAAATATCACATCTTTGCTGACAGCGGGGACATCAACGTCCATCTCATCCCCAATATCTGACATTTTTGCGCTCGTTTTTCCGGTCTTTTCTGTTCTTTTAGTGGTAGTTTTTCGGGTTTGCTGGTCCCGTTCAATTCTTGACCCTGTTTCGCAGTATGGAAGTTTGAATGTTGAGGTCACTGAAGGACACGCGCTAGATTACATCTAAACGCGTCTGACCGTGTCAGTCAATTAAGACCCCTGCACATAGCAACGACCAATCACAAGGGCGAAGTCGTCAATTTCACCCTTCCACTTACACCCTGTAGTATCATTCCTCCTTCAAACATCAATAGATCCTTTTGAGTATATTTATTTCGAATCAACAGTCATTATAGCTCTGATTCCGATCTAATATCTTGAATACAACTCAATATCAATTGCAACTCTAAGGTTGTCTACAGATATATCACCCAAAGAAACCCCAAGGTGACATAACCAATAAACCATTCCAGCGCCCATCATTCATCACCCTATATGTTCATTAAAAAGAAGAATATCCAATTGTATCCTGGAGGCCACTAGAAAACAATAGAAGGCGGTGGCCTCTTGTCTCATTTCATCTCATCACTCATCGTTCACGTAACTGATTCGTCCCCAAGCCCACAATCTCAAACATTATGGGGATGATAGCCACCGCAAACCAAGCAATGCCTAGCACATCAGTCAGCAAACTATTTCTCTGGACAGGAAAAGAACCCAGAAACTTACCAGTGTAAACGACGAGCTTAGTTACAACCTCGACGTCGTATCGCACACGGGGTTTAATTAATTGTGAGAACATCTCCCTCTCCTCCAATCCATCCTCGGTGCCTGTAACAAAAATCTCGACCCGATCATCATCGGCGGCTGGTGTTGTCACAACCTCGCCAGTTCCCATCATCTGCTCGAATTCGACGATGCGGTTTGCCTGTGCACCAGACGCCTGAGCTCCCTTGCCAGAATAGTCTTCATGCGTGGTCTGGAGCTCCAGGTTGCTTGACTTGCTCTTCAAGCTATGGTTACTGCTGACACTCTCGCGTCGCTTGCGCTCTCTATACGCTAAAGTCTCGTATGCATCTGCGGCACTCTGAGGACCGATCGAGACAGAGCGACCTCGGGTCGTAGGGTTTCGGATACTCTCGACCATGCGTGGGAAGTCGGAGGGTGAAGGGAAAAGAGTATCGATACGAGAGCCTGTTGGCACAGTCTTGTACTTGCTAGCAGGCGTGAAGAAACGTCGAGGCATGTTCACGCCAACCTGCTCAAAAATTCGGAATAGATGAGGCAAAAGCTTAAGCAGTAGAGGCTTCATCGTCTCGCGCCACGCAAACACGACAAGAACGCCGAACACGATTCTAGCCACATTGGCAGCCAATCCCAAGTGCGTAATATCCACAGATCCTCCACCATGCGCATGAGTCTCCCAAGGATCGAGCGCAATCTTGCCGTACGTCCATGTGCCAAACTCGAGGCCAATGACAACACCAGCAAAGGCAACACTGTCATCGTAACATGGACAATCGTCTGCTGGTTCAGGATGAATGCGCACAAGTACAAGGATAATCAGGGCAGCTACGAGAGGCGCAACCCAAGAGCTGGAGTGCATATATTCATCCAGAGGAGGTCCGTAGTAGAATTCGAGCAGAGAAATAGCAGCACCCATGATGGATCCTACAATTACGTCGAGGAAGCCATGCATACCACAGTATAAGCGCCCGAATATGATCGAAACAGCGTAGAAGTATGAGAGGCATTCGAGTGCGAACTTGGTGGTTGGAGCGAGCGTGTTTTCGGGACTGCGTAATATCAGAAGCGCATAGACAGCGACAGAGACGGCATTGGCGCTATGGGTCGAAGGGAAACCGTATTCGAGGGCTGCAGAACCAGACATTGTGATTCGGTGCAAAGGAGGCGAAAGTGGTCGCGGGAGAGAGTAGAAGTCCTTGATAAAGCCTGTCCAGAAGACACCGAGCGCAAGAATATGTACAAGTCTACACAATGAAGCATGTTAGTACCTGTTGCATCCTGTAATCACAAGAATCTGAGATCTGTTACTGCAACTGCAGCGCACCATCATGTGGCGCAGTGCAGCGTATGTAGACAATGGAATATGGTGCGACTTACCCCTTGCCAAAGGCTGCATAACCACACCAGAAGCAGATGGGCAATCCGATCATGAAGAAGGTATGGGTTCCGAGGTTGGCAGTAATGGCAAAGTAACTATCGAGAGCTGGAGTCCGTAACTTCTCTTGCATCCAGGCAAGATAGGGTGTCTCCCAGCGGATCAGAGGCAGCATCTGCTGGCGCAGATTGTACCGCCATTTTGGCAGGGCGCGCTTGTCTGCGAGAAGAGCAATCAGCAAAGCGCGCGGCGCGAGAGAGGTCGTTATTAAGGCGTACAGTGATCGAGACTTCTCAGTCCGGCATCGGGAATGTCGTCGCCTTTCGCGGAGCCGTTTGTCGTAGGCAGAACCGTTGTGGTCGTGGTGGCAGCGGGAATGTTGGCGCTCAACGGCGGGGCATCGCGTTGAGGGTCGCTCATGGTTTTGCGGCGGGCGTAAGGTAAGAGGTACGTCAATTGCGACGAGAACAAGATCCAATACAACGACGAAACATTAAAGTAAAAGAAGACCCGATAAGGAATGTCGTGAGCCTGAGTGCGGCCTTGGACTTCAATGGACAAAGGCCCTGCTGAGAATGTAGTTGTAATGTAGTAGTTTAGTTGGAATAGTTAACCAACGATGGAAGCGGCGGGAGTTTGATCAAGTGGAGTTTTGCACTATGTTACATGAACTGAACTGGACCAGCAATGGTCGAGGTTCAAGTGTAAAAGGCAGGTGGTCAGCTATTTGTATGTATCCAGTAAGGAACAACAATGGGCAATTGATCCTTGTCATGGGAGAAAAGGGTCAGATTAGGTAGATATTTGTCCGCCATCATCTTGTTGTTTGACTGCTCATCGAAATCCGCTCCGTTTGGCTTCAACCCTTGGCACTCGCAGAGGACAGCAAGACAAGGCCGAGGAGCCACACGAAATCAGGGTTTAATCAACGGATCGGTTACCTCGCTAACTTAAAGCTTGCGGTTCTCCTCTTCAATCCCCTGTTGATACCCCAGAGGCGAAACCCATCATGGAAGCTGACGAGGTGCACTAAGAAGAAAGCCACTGGTTCACAAACAGGGGGTTCAGGCCTTGTAGGTATTTCCAAAGGCCAGCATTGTCATATTCCTACGGGGAAAAGGTCTTGGGTATGTACAACAAAGCAATTACTAGTAGAGGAATATCGGCCATGACATACATCCAGCCAGGAACCGATCGCTTGGTCAGGGGTGCTTCGGTGGTGTTGGCTGGGGGGGCTAAAAACCAAACAGTGTGACAATGACATCGGTGCTGCATGGGAGGTTGGCTAATTTTTAAGCATACAGTTGAAAAGCTGAGAATATTTAGCTCACAACGATCAAAGGCAACCTGAAGGATAAAGGTAATGAAAATAAATTCTAAAACATATTCATCTTATAATATATAGTGAATTTCTATATATATAACATTATCGCAAAAAGTCCGATGTTGGTATCCATCCAAGTAAATATTTACAGACTCAACTTCAAATTTCATCACCACATCAAACTCACTACTCTTTAACCCACCTCACACATCCCGCCTCCACCACCGCCCATGTCCTTCTCTCTCCGCGGTAAACATGCCATCGTGGTCGGAGGCACCGGTACGCTGGGCTTCCGTATCGCGAGCGCACTTGCAGACCGCGGCTCTGTTGTAACCATTATGAGCCGTAACGCCGTTGACGATCGTCAAGTCCTTGAGCCCAGACTCAAACCCTTTGAGCCTCTCCCATACAGGGAGGACTTCGACGGTGGGAGACGCCCAACAGAGCACCAATTTAAACGCCTGGATGTTCAAAGGGGGGACATTTTCAAGGGTCTATTTCCCACTTTAGGCCCCGTTGATGTCCTCGTCAACTGCGCTGGCGCCAGTCAAGCGTCAGCTCTCAAGAGGACCGGCGAAGAGGATATTCAACGGATCCTTAACCTCAACCTCCGGGCGACTATTCTCGCCTCTAAATATGCCAAATTAACCAATCATGGTGTGTCCTACCAGACAGTCACTTATCTTCAATGGCATCTTCTCACATGTGCTCATAGGATGCATCATCAATGTCTCAAGTCTCATGGCTACCAAAATGGGTGCTGGTGCTACAGTGTACGCCGCTTCGAAGGCTGGTGTCGTTGGTACGTTCGTGATATATCCCTAATCTTATGCTACATGAATCCCCCATTATTATACATGCCAAAAAGAACCTGCTGACTCCATATCGTCGCAGCTTTCACCCGTGCCCTAGCCCTTGAGTATAAAAGTCGCTCTATTCGCGTCAACACATTGCTACCAGGTTGGATACAGAGTCCAATGTGGAATGGTGAGTCTCCCCTTCTTGTGCCTGAAGGCACATCTCTGACGCTTATCACCCTTGCGAAGAAGAAAGCCAATGTTAATGTACAATGCCCTTTTTTAGAACTTACTGAGACTGCTCGAGAGGCTTACCTCAAGCAGTGCCCCTTGGGCCGTTTGGGAACGCCCGATGAGGTAGCCGACGCTGCTATGTTTTTGATAACCAACCGTTTCGCAAACAATTGCGTGCTGAACCTGGACGGTGGCTTAAGCGCCAACTAGTAAAGCCCTGATTCCTAGGATATGCGCATCGTCCTTTCAACCCCTTGAATTATCCATCAATCGTCAATGACGATAGCGCCGCCGGCGGCCTGGCTTTGGACTTCGTCCACGTCTACAATATCGGTTCCGGATTCGGTGATCTTGAGTTTCTTGAGAGGCGGTTCGCCGTCCTCTCCATGCGGCCTCTTGACACCCTTGGGCTCGGCACTAACGGCCTGCTCATTGTTGAGTTCTCCGTTGCCATTCGCTGCGACTGGCTGGAGCTTCTTTGGTCGACGCGGAATCTTAGGGTTCTCTGAGAATGTAGCCTTGACCGGCTTCTCGTCTTCTTTCAATGTACTATAAATTGTAAGCCTAGTTCAATAACAACAGAGACAAAGACAAACCCTTCTTGGATATTGATAACCACATTGACGAACGTGTCTTCGTCATCCTGGTCGATGACAGTCAAGAATGAGTCCTTCTTGATACCTAATAGTTTTGTCAGTCCTCTCCGAGCAGTTCATTTGTCCTTTCAGTGAGGCCTTACCGAGATCACTCAGCTTCCTTGGTAGATTCTCGTCGTCGCCGTCTTCAAAACATTCAACCAAGGTTCCTACATCATTGTTCACGACGAACTCCTTGCCTTCAAACCCCAGTTTTGACTTGACGATGTCATCGACAAGATCCTTGAGAGTCGCCCGAGACAGGTCTGCAATAATACTTGTGAAGTAAACACTACATACAGGGCATTCGGGATTTGGCTCTCGGGACCTATCGGGGGCCAGAAGTCGAGCTGGGGCAAAGGGGGTCAAGAAGACCTCTTTAGACTGTGCATACTCCCCCTTCAAAACTTTGAAAGACTGAAGAACACAGAGACCAGCAACGATTGCGTTTGTTGTGGCAATAGCGGGAATAATGTTACCCGCCATCTGTTTGGTGTCAAACCGAGACTTCTTGTCAATTCCAAAAATTGTTGACCGAATGTTGGCACTTGCTGTCACAAAGTCAAGGGTATCAATGTCATCCTTGTCGAAGGTGATTGTGGGGTCGGGGCCTTCAGGTGTTTTGTTCTTCTTGAGCTCAAGAATTCGCTTGCTCAGTCGGTCAAGACTGTCATTGAAGACCGCTAGGCTCTCTTCCAGGGACCAAACCCGTTGATCGTCATTCAGAATCGTGTCCTTATTGGCGATAGCCTCGCCAGCTTGCGCGAGAACGATCTCATATCGAAGGGGCTCGGGCGCTCGCCGGGATGTCCACATGCCCTCCACGGAGCGTAATCGCTCGATGTCGGCGTTGAACACCTTGTCGAACAGCATCTGAGGGAACTTGGACGTGCCAGTGGCATCCCGAATCATCTTGAGAGCTTCGGACTCCTTCTTCAACTCTTCGATCTCTTTAGCTACCTTTTGTCAGTATGCGTTGCCCCTCAATACAGCATCTCACTTACCGTTGTCGGCATCAGTTGAATGGTCAAATGCGGCCTGATCTTCACTCGTGCCAAATATCTCACTAATTCGTTGTTAGCAATCTTTCACAAGTCGATATCCGCATGCATACTTAAGCAAATAACTTTTACCCCAGACAATACAGTGGATGGGTTGACTGGGGGTGCTTCGAATTGTACACACAGGGAAAGATTTCGGTGCTTCCTTGGGAGTACAGTCGTAGCATGCAGTAATGCCCTTTTTGATAACCTGCACCTGGCCATTGAATCCGGTGGTGCCACTCTCGATCAGTGGTACATCGGCTGCCAGGCACATCTTATTGACGTGCCTGCGCGCTTCGAGGTTATCCAGAGCATTGAAAGCAATGCGGAATTGCTGAAACCAGGCCACAGTAAACTCATCATCCTTGATGTTGGCATGGTGTGCGACAATTTTGACATTGGGATTGAACCGTTCTGCTGCCTCCTTGGCCACCTGCGCGCTGATTAGTATATAACCAACCTCCGTTTTGGGCAGAATGACGCACTAGGGCCTTTGATTTTTTGATGTGTTCGTGACGGAAAAGAAACTGTCGGTTCAGGTTCGAAAGATCGATGGTATCGAGGTCTACAATGTGTATTTCGCCAAAGCCGATGAGGACGAGATTCTTGAGCAACTCGCAACCAATTCCGCCAGCACCAACCATGAGCACACGAGCCTGCGCGATCCCAAGTTAGCATACCCACATTGATAAAGCTGGTTGAGCATGATCGCCATGTCGCATCGCATACAGTCCAATCCTAGATACATCGCTCCTGGGCATCGGATCGCGTCGCATCTTGGTGCGAGATCAAGGCTGAGAGGCGATATTTAGTTCCATGCATAAGAAACGTACCTGCTTGACAGAGGTATTGAGTGATGCGCCTAGAGACTGCTGGTTATGTCGATCACGCGTCATGGCCGGCGTGCGTTTTGGGTATGCGTTCTCGGACGAAGCAGTTTGTTTTTTCTGCTGCTCTTGTTGTCGTTGTGCTTGTGTTTGTATTTGGGGTTGCTGCGTAGAAGCTGGAGCAACAGCTGGAGCTGCAGCCGCATTCTGTGTCTGGGCCGGAGCCTGATCGGCGCTTGTCGCATTCATGGTTACAGTGATCGCTTTCTAAACGCGGAAACGGGATCGAAAGAGTGGATTAGCCCGATCCGAGGGCTGCGCATTAAGGTCGAGTCGGTGCGCTTGTTGGTGAAGAATGTCGCGATCAGTTGAAGGTGGGAAGGTTGAATTGGGTGTTAGTGGTGAGAGAGCTAAGATAGAGCACCTGCCCTCAGCAGGAGAGCAGGGTTGCAGGGCGACCAATCAGACGAGCCTATCACAGAGCATCGAGCTTCTAAAGCCGGGAATTCTTGGTGTCTTCTAGGCTTATGATTGGACTCCACTGTGCTGTCAATCAGAACACCACTAACCATCAAAGCCGGAGGCCACGAAGAGCAAGAAAACTTCACCTTGACATAAGATGCTGAAATAAACTCATGAAAAAGCCTCCTAAGTTCTTGCTAACTTACCTAAGTCTTTCTGTCACTTAGGATGAAGCTCCTAGGTATCTAAGTTTGCTTGCCTCCCCTTAGGAGGCTTGACTCGGCAACATTCTAACTTTTTTTTACTGATGGGTTGAGTGGATGGTGACGTGCAGATGGACATGCAAGGACAATGAGTGTCTATCTAAGGGGCACTCCAACGAAAGGGTGTCACTAAGTCATCAATTTAGTGAGTATTCATGTCAATTGGTTACTTCCAGAAGAATTCGTCTGTTCACTGACTATCATACAATCCCTCTTTACCGTGTTTCAGCCATAGCAAGCTCCAGTGGACGCACGATAGGTACCCTGGGCTGTCGGTGGCAGTTATGCGACCGCCGGGCCGCCCCCGAGAAAAAAAAAATAAGGGATCTGGATACTCGACTCGACCTTGAAAGTCTAGACTGAATCAAACAAAGAAAACTGCCCCCATTGTCACTCTTTGCTATATATTTTTGCTCTACGCTTTCTTCTTTTCGCTTGGCTTGTTCTTTTTCTCCTAACGTGCAACAACCAATTTTTGCAACGATGTCTGACGACGAGGTCGACACCGAACTCTTGGAACTCCTCCGTCAACACCTTCAGGGGAAGATTGATATCCAAGAGGAGCCCGAGACAGGCGTTCTCGAAAGCGCCGAATATGTCTACGACAGTTGTATTGATGTTGCCGTTGATATGCGTGCCTCGAAAAAGGCAGCGGAGAGCATTTACGAGCAAATGCAACGGAAGAGTTACTCAACTGCCACCTGGTCAGAGCATGAACTTCACCCCAAGGCCAAGGACGAAACTACTGTCAACTTCATTTTCACTATGGACTTGCTAAACTTTTCTTTCTGGTCTGAGCTGCCTGATGATGAACGCTTTGCTATTGAGTATCGCGGGCAAAGATGGACGGGTTATTGGAGTTTGGTGGCAGCTCTTCAACGAGCACTTGATGAAGGTCAGTTACCATTTTTTCACGATGACTCACGCATATAAAACTAATCCTTTGCCTCACTAAAAGGTATTCCTATCACGGATCCTTTTTACTGGCAGAACGAAGAAGAGTGTACCCTTGAGACCCTCACACATGTCTTCCGGTCATGCACAGAAGAGGAAATTCCCCTCCTCGAGGAACGCTTAGACTGTCTCCGAGAAGCTGGTCAAGTTCTCTCTAAAGTAAGCCAGAACAACATCAATCCTGACAATGATTAGTGATACTGACCACATATACCAGCACTACGATGGCTCTGTTGCAGAGCTCATTTACGCTGCTGACGGTTCTGCAGCACGCCTGGTAAACTTGCTGGCGCAGGATTTTGACTGCTTCCGTGATGAGCATCGTTTCGAGGACGGCAAGATGATTCGTCTAATGAAGAGAGCACAAATCCTCGTTGCGGATCTCTGGGCATGCTTCAACGGCGCGTCATATGGAGAATTTCGAGACATCGATAAGATCACCATGTTTGCCGATTATCGTATCCCTCAAATTCTGATGACTATGGGTGCCTTGTACTGTTCTCCAACCGTCGCAGCTGCCATCAAGGACAAGAAGATGATAAAGAGCGGATGTTCATGGGAGCTACAAATACGAGGTAAGTCACTCAAACTGTAGTCTTATTCTTTTACTGAACAAATTAGCTTGCAGCATCTGGTGTGTCGAGCTGATTCGACGAGAGATTCTGCGTCAACACCCTGACGCTCATGTCAACGCCATCCTAATAGACTTTTTCCTCTATGACAGCATGAAGGAACTAGAAGCGGCGGGCAAGGAACCCATTCCCCATCATCGGACAAGGAGTATTTGGTACTAGATGAAAGCCGCGAGGCCTGTTCCCTCTAGATTTTTGTGTGTTTTGACAGTCAAGTTTAGATCATAGATTTCTCATTCGACGAGTTCTTTATGCGCTTATAGAACAATTAAGACGATAAATAAAGCCACATCGGCATGTGAATAGTATTCCCTCAAACACCTTGCTCCGTACAACATACCCTAGGGACCAAATAACAAGCGAAGACATTTCAGGCCCCCTCAGCAGTCGAATTGAGGATCTCATCCATATGAGCCGTTTCGATTTTATCGTTACCCTTGCTTTCTTCCTTGAGAAGAACAGCGAGGACTTCAACTGGAGGTTTAAGACCGAGGCGTTCAGCTCGCTTCCAGCGCTTGATGCGAGGCATGCCTATACAGGGCTGTGCGGGTTAGCTACGGCAAATCCATGATGAAGCTCAAGCTGACTTACACCATATTGTGAGCTGACATCGAAATATCGAAGGACCTTCTCACTCAAAGATACACCTTGCTGGTGCAATCGCGGCGTAGTCCATTGGTCTTCAATGGACTTCCAGTACTTCTTGATTTGTGCGTCTGTGATTTTCTCTACTCTCAGCTCCAACTCAGATTTCCCAGGTTCTGGGACTGCCTCGGGCTCTGTCGCTGCCTCAACTTCTTCTTCCTTGTCAACCTCGATGGGCTCATGGTTGTTGACAACAATATCTTCAACCTCACGCTGTTTAACGTGCTGGCTGGGGTCGACCTTTGTGATAGAGGCAGAGATGGCAGACTTCTTGGCGTTTTTTGGTACTGGCTTTGTGACTTTGTTTGAGAAACTCAGAGTAGACTGTCCCTTGGCTGGCGGCCCCCTGCTGCGAGTGCTGGCAGCGGATCGTCGAGTTGTGGGCATGGTGGGCTCAGTCCTGCAGCGAAATGGCGCTGTTGAGTGCTGAGGATGACGCTTGATAAATTGTAAGTGAAATTGATACAGCTGTAAACAGGCGCTAGGTAGTGCCGAAAGGAAAAGCAAGTAGCAAGCTTAATGATTAACGTTGAGGGAACGGATGCTTTATGGTGATTGATGATGGTCGAAGTATGAGGTCGTTCAGTACCACAGGTACAGGGTCAGCGACAAGGTTGGGTGGCTCTAACGGGAAGGCTGGGAGGGACCAGATGCATGACGTGCAAGCCTTAAGATTGGCAGGACAACGCGAACTTAAGCGCGAGATCACGTGCGCTACATCATACTTTTTACACGGAAGCGGCCTGCCGTACAGTAGTAGTATCCAACCTATTAATGTAGGTAGGATTGATTAGCGAAGTTACACGGTGAAGTAGGTAAGAAGTCTCTGTTTACAAATGACCTGAAATGACAATGATCTTTGTTTCAACACATGACAGCCCAGGTCGGTTAATACTGCTAAGATTATGGTCCTATCCTCAGTCTGTGGATTTCATTTAAACCCACTCGTCCTATTCATGCCATCAAGTTCACATATACAAGCTGTTAGTCCATGCAATAGTATGAACTTCTGACGTGAATCTCTTCTGGCGTTGTCTTGGTGATCGAATTGTCGCTCATCGCCAAGAGCTGAGCACTTCTATTACACAATGATCAACCACCAGTAGCCTCTCGGTAGAACGAGAGGCTCCTGTTTGCGCCAGCGGTGCAGAACATCTCGCTTCTGACTGTCTTCGGTAGCCACTTTACAGACCATAGAGCTTTGTCCGTCTCACTATGTGTTGCCACACATGCGCTTCGCTCAATTGACCATACCTTGACCTTTCCATCCATTGAACCACTTAACAGGTATTCTCCAGTGTCGCTCCAGTCGAGTGATGTGATCCATGAAGAGTGTCCAGTCAAGTTCCCAACATGTTCTCCGTGTTTCATGTCGTAGAGGGCGATGATTCCGGCGTCACCTGCTGCAGCAAGTCGAGTGTTGCCAGGAGAAAAGGCAACTGATCGTACAGGCTTTGCAAGACCTGATAGCACGTGTCAGAAAGATAATACGGAAGAGGTGTACGAGGCAACCTACCAGATAATGAGTACAGGACTCTTCCTGTATCGTTGTTGAAAATGTAGACAGATCCATTCTGGTGGCCACTGGCGGTGTATTTTCCATCTCGGCTCAAGTCCACGGACATGCCAAAGCTACCGGATCCAGCACTTCCGGTTTCGTACTCACGAATCTTGGGCTTCTTCTCGTCCATCACGTCCCAGACGTTGACTCGGCCATCGTTGGTGGTAGTAGCCAGGTAAGATCCATCCTCACTCAACGCCATAGCCCAGGCTTCGCCTGGCTTAGATGAAGATCCTGTAATCTCGCCATTCAAACTCCATTCGCCAGTATCATTGTCGACTTTCCAAATTTTTACCTCACCGCCAAATCCAGCACTCGCAGCGATGTTGCCGTTTCGTGAAGTGCACACGTGATGACACCCCAGCTTATGGGCATCTGAGATGGACTGCTTGAGTGGGAACGAAGGATCAGTTGTGTCATGAATGTGAAGCGTAGAAGATCCACTGCCTGATATAACAGCCTTGGATGTCGTCGCAATAGAAAAGATGTCGGTGATGTGGGCTGTACACTTTTAGTAAGCTGCTTGTTCAAGCTCTTGCTTCATTGATTCACCCCACGGCGGGGAGGTCAAGCTCACCATTATCCACGGTATGCGTGGTCAAATATTGTTTCGACTAGGGAAATCAGTTGCCTTTCTATCAATTACTGAGTCTTCAATCGCCTTACCATCTCTCCCCACCTCGGGCTGAATGCTGTGCTTCTCTCACTCTTCGATATGACGTTGTGTATGAATGAAAATGCTTGGCTGGAACTGAACTGCGGATGGATGCCAGAGGCTTTGGTGGGGCATCAGAGTGTCATAAATACAAAGCTCCAGAATCAAGACAAAACATTCAAGATATAGGTATGGATGAATACGGCATTTCCTAATATTAAAGATTTACCGAACTGTATTAATAAGTAGGGGATCACCAGGTTATACTCTTGTATGTTAAAACCATATTGCTTCAGAACGTTGTATACATCAAGTTGAAACACATTTTTTTCACGATTCAAATCATCTAGTTGCTAGAGCATAATCATGCTAGTCTTAACTTTTTTATTGTTCATATTCATACAAGGCTCAAATAAGCCAAAACGCCCATGGTATGCATGATTCCGTGGTGACTATACAGACTCTTGTTACAGTGGTAAATCATCAATGTTCCATATCCTTCCCTCTTTAGATCGACCTATCATTAGGGTAGTCCTGACGCCAAATTTGTCTCATTTCTATACTTTGTTAGAATGCGTTCTTGTCACGGTTATACCGAGAGAGAAACAATATACCTTCTAAGCAAGTTTGGCATAATCGGTGTGTACGCTTGGGTTGACCACATCCGGGACACTTGCACAAATTGTTCACATCCTTCAGCGCCTTGCCCGCCATTTGTCTGTGTCGTTTTCTCGAATGGGAGACCTTGTTCTTAGGTACAGCGCGTAGCACAGACTCCCAGATATCATCGATGGTGGGGAGATTTAAGGAAACGCCCGGGATCGCAATTGACAACGATGGGAAGAGCTTCTGGGTGAACTGGCGAAAAGACACCGCAGATAGTAGGGTCGGAGAGTAGAGTCGGGGGAGAAGCGCAGCAGCCATCTTCACAGAGAAACGTAAACGGACTTGAAGATGTTTGACGATCTATCGGATTTGGCGGTTCAGTCCCAGTCGAAGTTGCAAGGCCGGCCCAAGGGACTTGGAAACGAAACGAATTGAATTGATCAATGTCTAAGTGCTTCGATGGCAAGTGATTGCTCCCTGACAGAGATGAAGCGTCTACGGGTCGTTGTGCTCGAATTGGGGTCGCGATGATCAAAATACGCAAGGCTTCAAATTCCAGCTCAAAAGTCTGATGGCCTGGGCTATCTCAAAGTGCCGCCAGCCAATCATCAGCTAACCGACGCACTGACCTACTTGAACCAATGAGAAGCTCCAAACGCGCTTTCCCCCTTTCTTTGGGACCCTGGACCTCCCTTCCAGTAGGGAAATTGTTTGCTAAGGTGGCAGGAAGCCCAGTGCCCGAAAAGTTCCCCCTAGGATCGGTTTCTACGCCGCCTCTCCTAAACCTCCAACTCCCAGCTTCGCTATATCTTCAGGCGTCACTTTGACCTTGCTAACTGTTCGCGCTCGTGTTGACCTTAGTTGCCTCGAGTCCAGTCTTTCTTTCTTGGAATAGTCACAACATTCCCAAGCTCTACTCTTACCTTCGCTCACTGTTTTAATCGAACGCTTCTCTCCAGTCCGAGTTATTCAAGATGGCTGCCGCTCCTCCCAACACCATCTATCCTCAAAGCCATGTCGGTTTCGACAGCATCACTTCCCAGATTGAGAAGAAGCTCTTGAAGCGCGGTTTCCAATTCAACGTCATCTGCGTTGGTAAGTGACGATTCTGTTCCTAATTGCCCCTATGGTTCAACTGCCATGGTGTGATTGCTCGCAGCCCAACTGCCGGTCTGCAATCAAGTTTCTATACTAACATGTCTTGCGCATTGTAGGCCAGACCGGCATGGGCAAGTCAACGCTCATTAACACCATCTTCGCTTCTCACCTGATCGACTCCAAGGGTCGCTTCCAGCCCGACGAGCCTATTCGCCAGACCACTGAGATCCAGGCCGTTTCTCACAACATTGAGGAGAACGGTGTCCGACTTAGACTCAACATTGTCGATACTCCCGGTTACGGTGACCTTGTCAACAACGACCGCTGTTGGGACCCCATCGTCAAGTACATCAAGGATCAGCACTCCGCGTACTTGCGCAAGGAGCTCACTGCACAGCGAGAGCGCTACATCCAGGATACCCGTATTCACTGCTGTCTCTTTTTCATCCAGCCATCGGGCCACTCTCTCAAGCCCATTGATATTGTCGTCTTGAAGAAGCTGTCTGATGTCGTTAACGTAGTGCCTGTCATTGCCAAGGCCGACACCCTGACTGTTGAAGAGCGTCAGGAGTTCAAGGAGCGCATCAAGGAGGAGTTTGCTTTCCACAACCTCAAGATGTACCCCTACGATAACGAGGAGTTTGATGATGAGGAGCGTGCTCTGAACGGTCAGATCAAGGTTTGTACCAGTCGCTCAAATTCAATCAGATTGTGCACATGCTAATACGTAACAGAATCTTGTTCCCTTCGCTGTTGTCGGTTCCGAGAAGTCGATCATCGTCAATGGTAAGCAGGTCCGCGGCCGCCAGAACCGATGGGGAGTCATCAACGTCGAGGACGAGACTCATTGCGAATTTGTCTACCTGCGAGACTTCCTTCTCCGAACCCACCTCCAGGACCTTATCGAGACCACCTCTCAGATCCATTACGAGACCTTCCGTGCCAAGCAACTGCTGGCCCTGAAGGAGAGCAGTGCTCACGGTGGTGCTAGCAGCCGACCCATCAGTCCTGCCGCCGACCGCGAGTTGAGCCGAAACTCGCAACGAATGACGATGAACGGCTACTAGGCTGTCTTATGTATTTGAAGTTGTGCTGGCGATGGAGCAACGGCGTCTCTGGGCAGCTCGATAGCCCGCATTTGTTACGACCCTCCATATATTTCACGGCCTGATGTAGAGCAACCCAAAAGTATATGCTTTGTCAGGAGGTTCGCTGGTCGACTTGACCGTAATAGAACCAAAGGCCTCTTACATCATTTCGATGACATCGGCAAGCGAGCAAGGACAGGGCAAAATATTTTCGAGGTACAAACCGGGACAGGAACTGGTCAATAAGACCAGACTCTTCCTGGCTGCGTGCCTCCTGACATTTCTGCCCCTTAGTTCATTTCGAAGCTGTACACGACTTTCTTCTTTTTCTTTCAGTGTTACCCCGGAGAGCTATTTGGCCTTTTTCTATGCTTTAATAAGACCGATTACCCCATACTCTAATCTAGAGTTAGTTTCCTGCCTACATAGTGTATCAATTCCCTTGGAGTTTCTGACGAACTTGTTGTCCCTAATGAGAATGAATCGTGACTTTAAATGCGTTTGCCCAAATCGTCGAAGTCATTCTAATCTTTACTTAATGAGTGTTAACTTGATATGACATGATCTTGGAGTTTGGTAAATGCCAGTTACGTGTAGAATGCTATTGCTTTTGTTGGTCTATGGCATCATCACTAAGCCATCGTGTTCGATCATTGCAGCTGGATTTCGTAGAGTATAGGGTAGCCTTCGTAGTGTAGGCACGAAGATAAAAATTAATGGTATGAAGCCCACAAAGCTCCTTTTAGGAAGCTTGTTTTGTTCCGCTCTCTGTAGCGTCTTGTTTGCATTTCTTATCTATATATTATGTAGCATTTGCAATGTGTTTGTCTTATGCTTCTGTTTGTGTAAGGACGTAGTTGTGTTTTCTAGCTGATTATGAAGCACTCATAAATCGGGATGGGGTAATTTCCTCAGCATGGAGATGTCATTGTCAGGACATAACTCTGCGCCCATCATATACTTAAAGAGCCGATGACATCAAGTATCAAGGAATATTCGTCCAAAAGATCAAGATGCACGAGCATTAGGACCTCGTACTGCGCGGGAAGCTGCCACGAATGGAATTATAACTTATGCGCTACCAGCGACCATGGTATGAGGAGTGCCTGGTCACGAGGGACCAGGGAAATTTGATCAACAACACACAAACACTTTGAAGCGTCGCCCTTAATTAGGTGCTACTTGTGACTGAGTGTGTATGATACGTTCTATCACTAGGCATCTTCACATCTTGGTTATGACATGTGGTTCCAAGGGGACTCCTGTTATGTCGTTGGCTGGAGGACTACATTCCTAAATTGACAACAGTGTAACGTAACTTATGAGTCAAATCCCCACGCTCACTTGTTCCCATTATGTAGTAACGACCAAACCGGCATCACTACGCTGCATGTTAACTCACTGTTTGGCTGCAAACATCTGGTGACTTGAAGTATACTGTAAGTGCCTTATGTAAGCAGCATGATTCATCCAAGTGAGCAAAGAGTACTGTAAAGATCGCCTACTGTTCACCGACATAGCTCCCTGGTAGCATGGCGATATTGATGCCAAGAAAGGTACAGTTACAGTCAAAGCTGCCAGTAATTAAACTTCTGCAACTAGAAATTGCAATCGTGCAAGGATGTTGAGTGACAAGCGCACATTTAAAACGTGGTGGGACCGTTCGGGAAACCCTTCAACGGTCATTTGTCATTAAGCAACAGTGAATGGTTGGTTGATCAAACCAGATCAGATCTGAGCATGGTACATAACGTAGTTTAAGTGGCTTGACAAGCAGATCTGATTCACCAATGGCTGTTGACCTTCCATATCTTTTTTGACTTTGATATCTGTCTTACAGTCTCAGATTCGTTCTGTTCTGTCCACTCATTCTCGTCAACCTGTCTTCGAGACCCCGTTCTCATCGTTCAATCGCCGAATCTAGACTGCAAACAGTAAAGTGAGTTTCCCATCCAGCGCCAACCAACCCCAGCAACAACTCGACTAGGTCGGGGATCCTTGTAAACACAAGGGTCTGTAATTATTCAGCTGCTCGTTCGGGCAAGAATAATGAGTGAATGGAGGCAGTTAGACAACTTGCAATTGATGCTGATTGATTATTTCTCTCACCTTCTGATGATGCAGTGACATCTGTCTAGTTCCACTCACATTACTGTTTGCTATCCATATTAGAGACCTCGTATAGACTATTCTAAAACCCAACACTTGACTTGTTTACGTGTCTTGGCTTGAAGCTTGGCTTCTGCCGGAACCTGATCTATTCATGCTAAAGCCAAGATACCATGGCCGGTGTCCCGATAGTGGTGTAATAGACTGCAGTCTGGAAACGGTCCAGGCTTGCGGCGTTGATGTCTTGTGTTTATTGTTGATTAGGATGGGATCTATGCCACCAATCCCCTGTCCATCAATTAAGTGCTTGGCCTCGGTATCCTTTCTTATTTGAGCTTGCCTCTTCCGCTGCACTGGGATTCGGTCTGAATCTATATCGTACTGCACCTGCTCATCTCTGTTCCCGTCTAATCTTCTCGTTTGGTTGTTGCATGCCTGTAACACTTCCGCCTCCACATTGAATTGCAGCATTATTTGCGGATTGATCCATCACTGTCAGTCGCTGACATTTATCCTAACCTTCTCCCACTTCCACTCCCACTCCTCTTCCTCCACCACGTTGCTTGCTCCTTCTCCCAACCCCATACGCTCCTTCTTTGCCAAGCGATTGTTCTCGAATTGTGGTCCTTTCACTTCTTATCGCTCTTTCTCATCGAGATCGGTTCATTTCGCACCTTGATTTTACCCAAGGTACTCACTCCTTGTTCATCCTCGCTCTCTTCACCAACACCATCAGTCAACAACGCAACCTTTTGCCGTGAACTAAGGTGTTTGTGCTGTGTTCTTCCAGGTCTACAATCAGCTCTTGCACTATTATCGGGACTTTTGGGAAAAGCCAATACAGAAAGATTCAGTAGCACGTTATCGCTATGCTTGTATGTTCGCCCACCTCGCGCCACTGCATATGGCGCATTCGTTACACCACATATTGACATGCATCCTAGATCAACGCCGCCCTCATGGCCCTTGGGGCCGCGGTTGTCGGTGCTGTGCCTCCTTTGGAGATCAAGGGAACTGACTTCATTAATCCCGAGACTGGCGACAAATTCCAGATTGTTGGTATGGCCTACCAACCTGGAGGCAGTGCCGGTTACGATCCTTCCAGCGGAAGAGATCCTCTCAGTCACAAGGACGAATGCATGCGAGATGCTGCTCTCATGCAGATTCTTGGGATCAATGCGATCCGTGTTTACAACCTCGATCCCAATATCAACCATGATGAGTGCGCTAGTATTTTCAATGCTGTAAGTGATTTGTCTCGGCCTATGTTGGTGATGAACTAACATACTTTCGCTAGGCCGGCATGTACATGATGATTGATGTCAACTCTCCCCTGCCTGGTGAAGCTCTTCACTCGGAGAAGCCCTGGGAGAGCTACTACACAGCCTACCTTAACCGCACTTTTGCCATCACTGAGGCGTTTGGCAATTATCCCAACACTCTTCTATTCTTCTCCGCCAACGAGGTCATCAACAACCAGGCCACTGCTGAGTTTGCTCCTCAGTATATCCGTGCTGTTACACGCGATCTCAAAAACTACATCAAGAACAACTTGAAGCGCCAGATTCCTGTTGGTTATTCCGCTGCTGACGTCCGCGATGTTCTCTGGGATACTTGGAACTACCTTCAGTGTGCCGACTCGGAGGACAAGGGTGACATGAGCCGTGCTGACCTCTTTGCGCTCAACTCTTACTCATGGTGTGGACCTGAGGCCACCTTTGAGACCTCTTCCTACGACGATCTTGTTGCTGGCTTCAACTCAACCTCTATCCCGATCTTCTTCAGCGAATATGGGTGCAACAAACCTCAGCCTCGTTACTGGAACGAGACTCAAGCCATGTACGGAGACGAAATGACCCCGGTTTTCTCTGGTGGCGTTGTGTACGAGTATACTGAGGAGGACAACAACTATGGCCTCGTCAAGATTACTGGAGACAAGCTTCGCATTCTTGGAGATTTCAACCGCCTGAAGAACCAGTTTGCTAGGATTAACTGGAAGGAGGTCCAATCTCAGCCTGCAAGCAAGAGCTCTCCTAAGGCTCCGGCTTGTAAGGCTAGCATCATCGAGGACAGCGGTTTCGACAACAACTTTACCCTTCCAACCATCCCTGACGATGCCCAGAAGCTGGTCGACAACGGAATTAAGAATAAGCCTAGCGGAAAGATCATCAATATCTCGGACTGGAACGTCAAGCTTGATGTCAGTAACGCTGACGGCAGTGCTATGAAGGACCTCAAGGTCATTCCCTTGAAGGACGACGAGTCCAATGCGTCTGGTAAGAACGACGCAGACACAGGGAGCGAGACTACCGATGACAACAACAGTACCAACACCGACAACAGCACCAACTCAAATGGTGGAGATACCAAGGATGGAGAGGACGATGAGGATGCTGCTATTCTTAACCGCCCTTTGGCTTGGGTTATGGCCCTACCTTTAGCCGCCATGGTGTTTGCGCTTTAGGGGCCTGTCTGGAACAGGCGTGAGAAGCAAGCGAAAAAAAGACAATGTGCTGCATCTGGTACTTGGAACGGGAAGTTATGACACGTTTGATTTCTTCAGATACGAAAAGCATACGATACCACCCGTCATCACCATCTGGTGATATGACGACTACTTCTCAGGCTCAGATTCCGAGCCTGCTCACTAGAAGGTTCTTGAGATCCTCTTGATTTGAGCTTTTTATACAGATACACTGTTTGCTATTGACTTAGGAATTATCATGGACTTAATTGCTTGGGATTGCATAACTCCTGTCAGGCTGTTGTATGTGAAAGTAACTGAACAATAGGGCATACTAAATGTCCGATTCTCAATGCCATCGGTACTCGGTCGGTTCAGCATTATCATATCCTACCGAAATTTTAATTGCCATGCATCTATTGCCCTAGTATATGCATCCATATGAAATAGGCAGTACAATTCCCTTTCCTGTTGCCCTCATCAGTATAAGCCCCCAAAAAAACCATCACTGCAATTTTGAGCACACATACACACCTATGTGGACCCCCTTGAAGGAGACTACTCCGTATGCTTACAGGATGTGTTGCAAGATGTCGAGTTTCCATTAATGCTGCTCTTATGCTGCTTTTTCAAACAAGACTCTGCCTTAATGCCAGTTTTACGCGGCGGCTCGAGCCTCTCCCCGACTACGGCAGAGGAAATGAGTAGGCATTCCCTGTCCATAAAGGAGGATACGCAACGAATCCGATAAACTAGTCTGACTTGGTCAACAATAGAAAGACAAGCTGTGGAGGAAAATTGCACGTAAGCAGATAATGCATTAAAATGTATTCAATATCCATGAAGCATCAGTGGAACCTGCAACACAGCATTTCATACACAAATATCCTGAATCACTAAGAGGCTCATCAAATCCATAAGTGTCATCAGATCTATTAACTTTCTTTCCGTTATAGCTCAAATACTGCCATACACGGCTTGTTCGACCATTTTTGGCCTCAAGCCCCCAGAATTGCATCGCACCACCTGGTACCCGTTTGTCTATCTTGCAGTACAAAAAGTCGTTCACTACAGGCATCTCATGTATACCTGCGTCATCCCTTCATACTATACCAACCCCCTGGTAAAGTTTTCAACCCCTTAACTCTGGAACTCCTGCGCCTTGCTCTCCTCCCACTTCCCAGGGACGAGGGCCAGAGGCACAATACCAGAGACGTGCATCTCAGGGCCAAAGATCTTGGCGTTGAGGCCGAGCTCCTGAGTGGCGGCCTTCATGTTCTTCAGACCCTCTTGGTAGTTGGGACCGGCACGTCGCACCCAGATGGAAACATTGTGCTCGATCAACTTCGGAGCGAAGTCTCGCAGCGCTCGGATAACACCCTTGAAAGTGCTGGCGACGTTGGTGAAGTTGGCAATACCGCCACCGATGAAGAGAACCTTGCCCTCATCGCTTTGAGGAGCACGGAGGAGAAGGTCAAGAACAGTTCGGGCGTAGTGGTAGGTCTGAGACTCGGTGGGAGCACCGGAGTACTCACCATAGTTGGCGAGCTCGTCAGCGAAACCAGCAGAGGCAATGGCATCGGCGTAGACGACGGAAGCACCACCACCAGCAACAAGAGTCCAAATACGGCCCTTGGCGTTCAGAACAGTGAGCTTCAGGGAAGCACCAGTCTTAGCGTCGAGGTCAGCGATGTAAGCCTCCTCCTTGGTCAGCTCACGACCGAAGGGAGCGGGGAACTCCATAGGAGGGCCAGCATCGATGTTGATCTTGCCATCAGCGGAGGGAGCAATGTTGGTAAGACCGAGAGCAGCAGGAGATCGGGCAATGGCCCACTTGACACCACACTCGAAGTCGGCAGTCTGATCGAGCTTGGCAGCAAGATCGAGGAAGTGGACAGCGGCGGAGGTCTTGTCCTCGTTGGGAATGACAACGAGAGGGTTGATCTCGAGGTAAGTGAACTGGCAGTCAACGTAGACGGCATAGAGGCGGGTGATGAAGTCAACAAGGACGTTGTGGACACCCTGGGGAACCTTCTTGAGAAGAGTAGCGGCGATCTCCTCGTTGGAAGGGTACTCGGCGAGGTCGACAGGGATCAAGAGCTTCTCAGCCTTAGCGTCAACATCGCCAACATCAACACCACCCTCATGGGTGAAGAGGATCCAGTCACCCTATAGATGGAGGTATTAGTAAATTAGATCCAGATAGTTTGGCAGTTGGGTATAGGCCGGAAAACCGGTACTCGATGTGGGGGTTGTTCGCGGAAGGGTCCGAGAAGAACGGGGGTGGTTTCCGACGATTTCTTATCGCGGCATCCGTTCGCCCGTTTCGGTACAAAGAAGGATTGCCGGCACAGGTAGAACGAGCCCACAATTCGAATATGCAACGCCGAGCAGCGAATACAAGTTGCGGCATACCCCTTTCTTCTCTTCAGATTCTTTCCTTCTCTTCCTATTCCCTTCTTTCGTTCTCAAGATGAGAATCTTGGGAATCTCTAGCGCCCGAGGAACTAATCCAAAAACACAAGGGGAAACAATGCTTCAACTTACATCACGGACTGAGTTGATGTTGATGTAGTACTCAGTGTCTTGGGGATGAGGAACAAAAGGCTCGACAAGGAACTGTCTCAACACACCAGTGGTGTGCTCAACCTGCTGCTCCTTACCGGCTCGCTCAGCAACCCAAGCCTTAGCCTCAGGCCAGGTCTTGTTCAGGGCCAAAAGACCACTCTTTCCTCGTCGCTTGATGAGCTGATCGGGCTTGGCAACGAACTTAGCGTCGGGCTGGAGGAGCCAAGGGTAGGTGACCTCAGCCTGGTTCAGAATATCCTCAACATTGGCATCCTCAGGGAAGTGCAGCGAGGCGAGTCTGCTGGGAGGGTTGTGAGTAGTAGGCGCAGGAAGAGGGCTGGGCTTGATAACGGGAGCGCGGGTAAGGTGGTAGTTGAGGATGGCCTTGCCGTCGGCCTCGAGAATCGACTTGGCGGACATTTTTAATTATGAGGAATGGAGGAGAAACGCAAAGTTTAGAATGAATTGGCGAGTGTCAATTTATTCCTTTCTTCAATTCTGATGGAGAGAATCGTTAGCAACTGTTGAGTCTGGTCTGGTTCAAGGATGACCAGTATTGTCTCGCAGGCGTAAAATCGATTCGGATAGTTCAGCTCAGGATTGGAGTTGAAGCAACAGCCAGGGCTGACAAAACGAAACAACGAAACAACAGATTTCACAGTGGTTTATATGAGCGCAAAACTCAATGCTCAAACGAAGCAGTCGTGATTGCGATTGACTTTGGCTCGTCGAAGAGAGTTGACAACCGTTCGGCGGGGAAAAAAGCACACACTCACCACTGCACACGAGCTCAAGTGGGCTGCGACAATGAAGTTGAAATTGAGGATTGGGAGGGAAAGATGAGATTATGACAGAGAGACGGGCAAAAAGGAAGGGGAAGAGAAGAGGATGAAGATTGCTCAAGACGATGAGAGAGGTGAGAATGGAGGAGCAAATAGAAGCGGCGGGAGTTTGGAACGAGACACTGCAAGTTGAGTGAGTGAGTGAGGTGAGCTCTCTCGAAAAAACCACTGGACCTGAACTGAAGGAAGCTCAATGGAAGGGGAAGACACCCGAAGCGGGTGGAGTGGAGGGGTCAAGTTGAAGGGGGGAGTGGAGGGGCGCTCGACAACCTGGCCTGGCGTGGCCTAGGCCAGGAGCCTGGGGCGGGCGGTCAGTGGAGGGTACCTGAAGCTACAGGGTCGATCAGCGCGTCACGGAGGTACCTGGGCCCTGAAATCCATTGGGGACGGGGTCCAAAAAGCGATGAGGGATGGTCAAGTACCGGTACATGGACAATGTCACTCCGACTCCAAGCTGTTGAGGACCAGGGTGGACCAGGGGGAGGCGACCGACGCCTTGAGTTACGTACGACAGGTCAAATTCGAAGTTCATCAAACCGCCGAAAACCGCAGCACTCAATTTACGCACCGCACGCTATGATCCGATTCTTATCAAGCCCAATCGATTTAAAATTTCGGAAGCTTTTGTGAGTAGTTCGGTCACTTTCTTTGTGTGAGTCTTTTTCACTGCTTTTTGAAGAAAACCATGATCCAGATATCAACATTACAGCCTGTACCTGGTCTAAGCACTGGTTGGCTCTGGGGTACGCGAGGCGAGTTTGCCTGCCCCAAAGACTTGGATACTAAAACAAAAATGGAAGTCTTCCATTTGATGAGATTGGCAAAGATTGACTCGGGTTCCGGGGGAAGTGCCCATAGCTGACCTTGCGGTGAGTTCAATGAGGTACCTCAACTCAAGGTGAAGTGAGCCTACCTGGCCCAGTGGCTGTTTTGGTGGTCAGCGCCTGGGCTGGACGCCACCCCCGACATGGTCTAAGCTTGATTTTCTGCCCCTCCATTCCCCTCCATGATGGACCTCACCTCACCTCAAGCTCTTGAGCTATCCGATTCTATTCAGTGCTATTCACTCCGAACCCACAACTACCGGTTGGCTACGGGTTCGGTATCCATCACATCGCATATCTAAGCTTCCGATGTTCGGTGGAGAGAAATTTCTTTACAGGACAGGCTGTCTGGCTGTGCAAGCATGCATGCCTTTTTGGAACTGCAGACTATCTGTGGAACATCAATCGGACAGTCCAGGAGGAGACCCAAGATGAGAAAGTGGCTTCATTCTGCCGGGCAGGGCATTTCAAAGCAGTTGCAGATGCAAATGCAGGCTGTTTAGTGACAGTCAAGTTTCACTTGATTCATCTTTCTAGCCTTGCTATTGTACAGAGCGGTAGGGCTAGCTTCAATCCAGCCGCCCTTGGCTAATGTGAGCATGTGTGTCCCACTCAACAATGATTCCATGCCGCCTTTTCATTCCCCTACCTGCTTCCCTGGAAAAGGGTCTGGCAGGATTGGAAGGCTGTCGGACCTCAACACGATATCACCACCAGCCAAGAAAATCACCGACTTGACCAAGGGCACCTGATCATGGGCCTGTCAGTTTCTTGAAGCAGAGGCTTACGACATTCTGAGTATTACTGTACCGTCAGTTGTACGGATTAGTGAACTCAAGTGTCAGTTCATGAGATGCCGATGATCTTGCAAGATCTTCGACGGCACTCCGTATGGATAATGCAGGGCATGGGTTGGCTGCACACGAAAACACGGGATGACCCCATCGTTTCACACGGGACCCAAAGTCGACATGTCTCTTGTCTCTTGGCCCCAAAACAATATGCGCTGGTTCTTTAAGCATTACCAGTACTATTCATTACTTGATGGTCTCAAATTAAGCCATCCATAAACTTCTCGGGGACATAGTGGGGGATAAGCGCCATCACAACGCCTCTTACAAGTGTAGACTGGCATGGACAACGGCCCCCTCATTGGTGTGGCAGCTCCAGTCTTCAAGCTCAATTGCAAACCGCCCTGACCAGACAAGAAGAAAAAAAAAAAGCCCGTTGATTCAACAGATCAACAAGAAAAAAAAAGAGGACCCTGCAACAAGCGACATCCCCAAAGAAAACACAGGGTTCCTCCCCAACTGGCCGGTTGATCAAACTCACCTACACCACCCCTTGCTGTTTAGAGACATTGGATGCCCATCTGGTCGGCCGAGGAATTCCCCATCTTGGCAATTGAGTTTCTGAAGAGAGATATCACCAAAAAAGGCATTAGGCAAGACCCAATTGTTGGCTCTCAAAAAGTGAGTGAGCTTGTTCCCGTCTGTCTGCTCCAAAAATATGCTCTAGGTGTGCGGGTATGGGCGATGGGTTGCGTGAGAAAACTGGCGCGAGCGGTGGCTAGTGATGTACCGGGAGGTGGGTCGACAGGGGTAAACTTCCTACCCCTCGATGTACTGTACCTGAAGTACCCGTTACTTGAACCCCAAGCAGCGGTCCTTGCAGGTGCAGAGGCGTCAACCCCACTAAGTTTTTTGGTGTGGTGAGACCTCAAGCAGGACCCGACAAGACATAGCACCGCGGTGAATTGGTGCTACAGCTGTCCACTGCCCGCTGAGAGAAGCCTCATCGACCCTTGAAAGTCAACCAAAACCAAAAAAAACCCAAGCCCAGTCCAGCTCTCTCACCTGCCCACCTCCCATCTCACCAGAGACGTTCAGTCATTCCTCCTGATTTCTAGGTCCCATCCCATCCACTCACTCCCCTCCCCCTCGTCTCGTCTCCGACTTTGTCTCCTTCAACTGACGGATCTTCTCGACCGTTTCTTCTACTCATCTCAATTCCTTCCCCATTTCCTCTTCATACATCTCCCCCCATACCTAATTCCTTTGAGCCAACTTCTCCCCAGAGAGCTCAGAGCGTTTCCCCTCCTCAGCAGCTGACACCTTATTTGGTTCCTCCAGCGCTCTAACTCTTCAATTCTCCCGCCTCTACTCACACCGTTCAAGTTCGATATTCACAATGGCTCCCGCTTCCTCCAGCAGCCTGTCGGCCAACGACAACATTCAGCGTTTCCCGGCTCCCAGCCGACCGCTGAGCCCACTTCCTGAGCACGCTCTCTTCACCAACAAGACGCGATGCTTCGTCTACGGTCTTCAGCCCCGAGCCGTCCAGGGCATGCTCGATTTCGACTTCATCTGCAAGCGCTCTAAGCCCTCCGTCGCCGGTATCATCTACACTTTCGGTGGTCAATTCGTCAGCAAGATGTATTGGGGAACCAGCGAGACTCTGCTGCCCGTCTACCAGCAGGTTGACAAGGCCATGAGCAAGCACCCCGATGTCGACGTTGTCGTCAACTTTGCTTCTTCCAGAAGTGTCTACAGCTCCACCATGGAGCTTATGGAGAACCCTCAGGTCAAGACCATTGCTATTATCGCTGAGGGTGTCCCTGAGCGAGTAAGTAAATGCCAATTGCGATGTGCTGAAAAGTAGCTAACAATTATTCTCCAGCGAGCTCGTGAGATCGCCCACGTCGCTAAGAAGAAGGGTGTTACCATCATTGGACCTGCTACCGTTGGTGGTATCAAACCCGGCAGCTTCAAGATTGGTAACACTGGTGGCATGATGGACAACATTGTTGCCTCCAAGCTTTACCGCAAGGGTTCCGTTGGCTACGTCTCCAAGTCTGGTGGTATGTCCAACGAGCTCAACAACATTATCTCCCAGAACACCGACGGTGTGTATGAGGGTATCGCCATTGGTGGTGATAGATACCCCGGTACCACTTTCATCGACCATCTCCTGCGATACCAGGCCGACCCTGAGTGCAAGATCCTTGTCTTGCTCGGCGAGGTTGGTGGTGTTGAGGAGTACAAGGTCATTGATGCCGTCAAGCAGGGTATCATCACCAAGCCCATTGTCGCCTGGGCCATTGGTACTTGCGCCAGCATGTTCAAGACCGAGGTTCAGTTCGGTCACGCTGGTTCTTTCGCCAACTCTCAGCTTGAGACTGCTAAGATGAAGAACGAGAAGATGAAGGAGGCCGGTTTCTACGTCCCCACTACCTTTGAGGATCTCCCCTCCACTCTCAAGGAAGTCTACGACAAGCTCGTCTCACAAGGCACCATCGTTCCCCAGCCCGAGCCCGTTGTTCCCAAGATTCCTCTCGACTACTCTTGGGCGCAGGAGCTCGGCCTCATCCGAAAGCCCGCTGCCTTCATCTCCACCATCTCCGATGACCGTGGTCAGGAGCTTCTCTACGCTGGTATGCCCATCTCCGACGTTTTCAAGGAGGATATTGGCATTGGCGGTGTCATGTCTCTCCTGTGGTTCCGCCGCCGTCTGCCTTCATACGCTTCCAAGTTCCTCGAGATGGTTCTCATGCTCACTGCCGACCACGGTCCCGCCGTGTCTGGTGCCATGAACACCATTATCACTACCCGTGCTGGTAAGGACTTGATCAGCGCCCTCGTTTCTGGTCTCTTGACCATTGGCTCCAGATTCGGTGGTGCCCTCGACGGTGCTGCTGAGGAGTTCACCCGTGCCTTCGACAAAGGTCTCAGCCCCCGTGACTTCGTCGACAGCATGCGCAAGGCCAACAAGCTCATTCCCGGTATTGGCCACCGTATCAAGTCCCGAAACAACCCCGATCTCCGAGTCGAGCTCGTTAAGGAATACGTTCTCAACAACTTCCCCAGCCATAAGCTTCTTGACTACGCTCTCGCTGTCGAGACAGTTACCACTTCCAAGAAGGATAACCTGATTCTCAACGTCGATGGCTGCATTGCTGTCTGCTTCGTCGATCTTGTCCGCAACTGCGGTGCTTTCTCTGCTGAGGAGGCTGAGGACTACCTCAAGATGGGTGTTCTCAACGGTCTCTTTGTTCTTGGCCGAAGCATTGGTCTCATTGCCCATTTCCTCGACCAGAAGCGTCTGCGCACTGGTCTTTACCGTCATCCTTGGGATGACATCACCTACCTCCTCCCCAACCTTCGGGAGGCTGGTGCCCCTGGTGCTGAAGGCCGGGTGGAAGTTTCTCTGTAAGAGATGGAGAATGATAATTGAAATGGGATGGGAAGAGATAAGGCGTCGAGCATTTGATGATTTTGTGCCGGCCTGGACGCGTCGTGGGAAAAAAACGACGGTCTGTATGAGAATTCCAATACAATGTAACTAGTGCTGGAGGCCACAAGATAGACCTCCATATTACTCGCTTGATTATAGACATGAATGTTGATGTTTGCTATGAGATCTTCTCGTGTCACATGCTTAACTTGTCATGATGAGCATGATATTGTAGTTTAAGAACATCCATCTTTCCGATTCGAGTCACTCCTTCGTTTTCCTTAGGTACCGGAACTCGTATCCTCTTGATCTGACGTTCAGGTATGGCTTCACTGTTCCTGCTACGTGGATGATGGGTATTATGAAAATCCGTGAGCTGAGGAATGCACAGCATATAATTACCACACATAAATGAAATCTCGGATTGAATCCTTCGAAGCGATGAGTTCGTCTTAAAGAAGATATTACCTTGAACTTTGACGCTTTTCTGAAGCCGTGGACTTAACTCACGTGCTTCATCATGAGAAGTCCTCCAAGGGTGGTCACATGACATGCTGGGAATTGGAAACGTTCCCGAAAAGGTTTGGCGTATCCATGGATTTTGACGCCCTATTCTTGAGCTCATGCTTCTTTGACGACGACCGACGAAACGTAAACGGCGGGCTGCTGTTTCTTTTCGGGGACTTTCTTCGATCCCAATTGCAAGCTTTCTATGGTAAGACACTCACAGATCCCATTTATAGACAAATCTTGCTCACACAGAAACACAGATCCTGCGCTCCATTTCCTCCCAAGGATCAACCACTACAAACCACCTCCAACAATGTCTTTCTTCCGCATCACCCTGCATCGCTCCGCCATCGGTCTTCCCGAGCGCACACGAGGCGTCCTCGCCGCTCTAGGCTTGCGCCGTCGTATGCAGACCGTCTTCCATCCCGTTCACCCACAGTTCGCCGGTATGATCCTCAAGGTGAAGGAGCTGGTTCGTGTTGAGGAGGTGGATCGCGTGTTGAGCAAAAGAGAGGTAAAGGCTGCGCGGACGCCGGATCCCGGGTTCTACATTGAGAAGGCTGTGCCAAGAATGTAAAAAAAGCGATAATACCAAGGAAGAGAAATGGGAGTGTACTATACTGTAATGACCCTTGTATAAAAGATGGCGCAGAATCGGACGAAATGATAGAAGTGCGATCAAGACACATCAAGTTTTCATTCACAAGTTGCTTGAATGGAGAAGTGAAATACGAGACTTGTCGCATTGAGACCCTAAACACCCCGGACACGATACTAATTACAGATGTACCACGAAGACCCCAACTATCTCACAAATGCGTGTCTAGTCCTCCCTTATCCCAACCGCGATTCATGTTACCCCAAAATGGGTCATAATGTGAACGAAACTCCTGGTTGTCTCGCTGCCCATCTACCAGAGCTTACAACTTGATATTGCCCCTGTAAAACACAGTCGGAAGTGGACGAGCATAATGCTCTCAAGGGAAAGGCCCCGGTACTAGAAAAGATGGTTTCACTAGTGAACTATGCTGTTTAGAAGCTACGAGCCTTGTCAATGTACTCCTGGCTGGGAGTCTCGTACTCGTTGACGAAATAGGTCTCGCAGTTACGTCCTAGCCAGACGTTGAACTTTCCAATCTCCTCTCGAAGGCGGGATACGGACTGCTGGTCCATGTTGGTCTGCGCCAACAGTTCGGGGAGAGAGACTGGTAGCATCAAGTCAGCCAAAAGGTATATATAAATGGAGACGGAGGGAAATAAGTACCGATTAGTCGAGCAAGATGCTCAGCACCATAGACATCGCAGACATTGGTGATTTCGGGGTTCGCCTCAGTGTTCTCCCAGAGCTTCTTAACGTCCATGTATTGATGGCGCTCGAAACTGGCCAGAGTCAGCTGTCTGAATCGTTAACGAGTAGTCACACTTACCGGTACAGTAGGATCCTGCTAAGAGCCTTCTCAAAGTACTCGCGGAAGCCTGCGACGACTTCCTCCAAGATGTCCATGCTGGACGATCCCTCTTCACGGTGTGGGCGCTCATGTGCAAGATAGTCCTCGAAGATCTTGGTGACTGGCATATTGTGAGGAAGAGGGACAAGCTGGTTGTTTTTGGTGATGTTTTCCCAGTCATCAACCAGCATCGCTTGAATGTGGTCGGGCACTGGCAATTTGATCATAGGCTTGTTGTGGAAAGCATCCTCCTAAAGCAAGATTAGCATATGATGGGTTGTTCGAGCGACAAAACGGCCGGTGGCCACTGTATAAGACTATGAAATCAATGAGTCTATGAGGGATCGATATACCGTCTCGAGCTGGTCACATGAGCGCCGCTTGGATTTGGCACCAGGCTTGAGGGGCTTTTGACGTGGCTGCTTTCGCTCGTCTTCGACGATCAGGGGCATAGCGTAGCGATCATCATGGATTAGTTTCCCCGACTCGGTTACATAGCGGTGACCATTAGAGGGGAGAAGAGTAAGATGGTCCTTGGGTTCTTTGAGGTTGGTCAACTTGACCTTCCTAGAGGACTTGAGAGGATCCATCGACTTGCCAGGCTGAGCCAAATCGGGAGAGCCCCGAACATTTGAGATAGGAAAGCCTTGCGGAGCAGAAAGCCCGCCCGCCGAGTCCATGACGCCGCAGTGTTGTTTTGCAGTTGATGGAGAGTTGGGGGTGACAGGGGCAAGTGTTCAAGCGAGGGAAATGTTATGACGGGGAGAGAAGGTAAGGAAGTACGGGTACTTTGAAAATGGTAGAGCAAACAAAAGCTGTGGGGGAGTATGTAGTGCATAGAAATGATGCCTGGCCAACGTGGGATTTTGATGCTGGGACAAGGGCGAGGAGTGACAAGAAAGGAATCATGGAGGGGAAAACGGCAGCGCCGTAGGCAGTGTTGAATGTAGGCTGAGGCTGGATCACAATATAGGGCTCGGTATGGCCCTGGTTCAACCGATCAGATGGGAAAACACGCTTTGATACAATAACAACCTTCTCCCCAACTTTGAGGTAAGGAGAAATTGGTGAATAGTGAAACAGAGTGTAGATGCTTCTTGTTTCGACCAGTCTCACCAAAGGGCCAACTGGGCCAAATTTTGCATGTCACAGCCCAGAACTACCAGAGAACACTCGCAAAAATAACAAACGAAGCATTGAGTGGAAGGATCAGGGCAATGTAACAAGGAATATCAACGAACAAAGGATTTCTTACCTGTTCCAGTTCCCAGTCTTTACCTCGTCTTCCTCCCCTGCCCCCTTGAACAGTGGCAGAGCCTGATCGCTCTTCGCTGACTCTAGCAGACTCAGCACCACTTCTCAGGCCCTTTTTTGGCTGCTTGGTGCTTCGTTGGATGTTATGCTTCAACTGCGCATGCAACTGTGCAGCCAGCTCTTTGTGCTCATCGTCGAATGGCCGGATACGGTCAACCAGCACCCAGTCGTCCCAGGTGTTCTTCCACCCCTTGTAGTGGACTTTATACTTGTATCCATCACTGGGCTTCTCACCTGGTTGAACATCCATAATCTTGGCTTCGTAGAGCATGTCCATGTGGAAACAGAGCACTTTTTCATCTTTGCTGAACGGCGGTGGCGCCGGTTGTTGTCGAGCAGGAGCCATGTCTGTGATGCGAAAGACAAAAAAAGAGAAGAAGTTACAAGAGTGGTAAAGAAGAAGTATAAAAGCAAAGTTAACAAAGCACGGATGTAGTCCTCCAAGGTTTAACCAAGTCCAAAATCGATGAGTGTTGATGATAAGAACAATGGGTATGGGAATGGATGGGTGGATGGATGAGATTGAATGCCCGGATACAGTACAGGTACAGGTTTCTGATAACAATTTACGGTAAGGTACCCGTACCTTGAGAGAAAGCAGGCAAGGTACACAATTAGTTCGCGTTAATGAGGGAACAGGGGTTGTTCACTGTGACCACGCGACGCGACAGCCCCTTCTTAGGTTGGTTCAGAGTCAAAGCTGAAGTGTTTAAATGTGATAAGATAAGGAATTTGGTAACAAAGGAGTGGATAGAGGAAAACCAATGCTGACACTGGGCTGGATTAGTGGGAGATGACCCCTCCATGCCCGCTCTAAGACATCCTATCCATGTTGGATCCAGGCCAGTTTAGGTTCCTGTCACTGGGGAGAAGCCCTGCAGATTGCACCGCTGGGCCTCTCAAGTGCACTGGAGCTGACGTGAGTAAACCAGATGTCGTCTCTTTTTTGAAACCTTGAAGTTTCTTGAACTTGCAGTGAATCGCATAGACTATACACTCAAAGCCCTTAAAAATGTGAACACACTTCCACGCACACACTTTCTCCTTGACCTCATCTTCTCCCATCTGGCCATCATTCAGGTGGCTCTTCATCATGGTATCTAGCCTCGAATACTTCGGACAAAAATCTCCCTGTGCTGGGTACACGTAGTGGAAGGATGAACTGGGGAACTATGTTGCTGCTCGCGGATAAAAGAAGGGTTATGAGCATGCTCTTAAACCCCCATACTATTTCTATGTAAATCATTTCAGCTAATACAAGAGCCCCTGAGTTATTCAGCTTCAATACTGTTGTGATCCTTCACATACCGAGCACCAGCACCAGTAAGAGGACAGGATACGGTATTTAGTGAGCAGATATTGGCCGTTTCCTAGGTTTTCTGGTAGGGACCTGATTCGTCTTGGCCTGCTGGCAGAGGATGGCCACATTCTGATGTCAACTTGACAGCAGCTCAGCTTGAACTATTGCTGCTGTTGACAGCCGTGGTGGAATAGGGGCGGCGGCGGGCACTCTAAAATTTTAGACAAAAGCCCAAGAGACATAAAAGCATTATATCATACAAAATGGATATATCTACAGTGATGCATCGAGCTGTACCGAGCTTGTGTTTGTATGGGACTTGAATTCTCAACAACCTAAATGACGAAAAGAGCCAAGAAATACACTGAATCGCATTCAGCTCAAGGTCTATAAAGAATTCCCCTTATTGTTTCGTATCCAGGCATTGAAAGTTTAGTGTTCCTGAATAACTCATTCGTCTGTCCTGTTGTGTAAAAGCTGGTGTTATATTGTTTAGGTTTGGGTAATGCGGGGCACTTAACGCGCTTCATTTTCAAGACGCGTCCAGATTGTATCCCATAGTAAAGCGTACCAAGAACCTTCCACGATATTGCTCATATCGATCGACTTTCCTAGAACCAAGGATCCTCTCCAGAAGTCGCGCGAGGAATACCTCAACTCGAAACCATAAAGATGGCACCTACAGAAGCAGAGCTCCTTGCCAATTACCTCATCCAGCCATCGACTTTGACCGCTATCGTCACACTCGAGCAGTTCAAGGCCCTGTTTCCCCGTCCGCTACAATCCTCACCTCAGATTCGATCACTCTTTCGAGATCTGCAAGCTCAACGCACAGATCTTCTTGACCAAGTCGCCGAGAACATCGCACATGAAGCGAAACGAGGAATCACAATGCGGCGAGAAGTCGTCCGGGCTAAGCGCGAGGCAGAGCGAGAGGATATAGACGCCGAGATTGAGATGGAGCGAGCAGTATGTTCATTTAGTAAAACATCATGGTGTGAATACTGACCAGCGCTGCTTATAGCTATTTGGGGACGCTTCAGGTGCAGCGAGTGCTAAACATACTCTCAACTCTGTTATTCCAGAACTCGAGGGTGCCGCAGGTGCACTACATGCCGAACTTGCACATTTGAAAGAGGAAGAGGCAACCTTACTCGACTCTGTACAACAGACTGTAGGAGCATTGAGCGATCTACGATATGGAAAATTCGCCAATGGTCAAATAAGCGAGGAGGTTATCGATGGCCTCAAAAACGTGGAAGCAGCTTGTGAAAACAAATCATGAACGAACATATCACTTCAAGAGCGTCTACAACTTCACGAGAATAATCATGATCGCTCGGGGCCAGAAACTTCATATATTTGCACGACAAATCGACGTTTTCTCGGACACCGAACAATTTGACGGTTTAATCACTAAAGCCTGCCAACCAATTGCTAAAAATGAATTATTGGGCGCGCTGAGCACCAGCCTGGGGAGCACCGTTGACGCCCTGCATGCGACGGGACCTGGTGCTGTTAGTATCGCGTATATTTGGCTCAGGGATTGAGATAACTCACATCATGGCGCGGCTACCGAAAGAGACAACGAGCATGAAGAGCCAGTTGGGGATCAACCCCATAGCCCACATGAGGTAGCCGAAGGGAACAGCCACACCGTACTCGGCAAGCTTGCCGTTGAAGGGGTGGAACCAGCTGCTGTCAATGCGATGGAACTGGTCCTTACTACCAGACTCGTGGAAGGCAACCAGAGTGTCGGAGGTTGTGGTGGTCAAGTTAAGTCTCTTGCTGTAAATCTCGACGGGCGCAGGCTCGGGGAGCATCTCAATGATATAGAGGCTGGCGGGACCGGCAGACCAGGCATTGCAGAGAATGGGCTGGTTGTCGCAGTTCAAGTAGGCCATATGGGGGGTGTTGTCGAGGAGCGCAAACTTGGCAGCAGTCTCGTTGAAGGCCTGCTCTACAGTTCCGCATCGACCTGTAATTGCATGTTAGTAAGAGTTCAATACGTCTGACACGGTGATAATTGAAAATTATAGCATGAATTATATAGTGTAATTACTGGTGATCAAACGTACCATAGCAGGTTTTGTTGCCACCAGAGATGAGCAACCACCACTCCTCGGGAGTAGTAGCACCAGCGGAAACAGGTTCGTAGAGGGTTTGCTTCCAGTTCTCAAGGGTCAGGACGTTGAGTCTCATAGAACCAGCCTTGGCCTCAGCAGCAGCAACAGGGTCATGGTGGCCTGGGTTGGGAATATAGGAGGCGAACTGTCCGATGACATTTTGGAACTGGGCCTTGTACTGGTCGATAGGCGAGTCCTGAGCGGCGGCAAGGGCGGGCAGAGCCGCGAGAACAGTGGAGGACGAGAAGCGCATATTGGCTATTTACGTGAATGAGCTTGTGATGGTTGATAGTGAAGTATGGCGCAAGCTAATCAACTAATGTCGACCTCGAGGGAACGGCTGGAGAGGAATAGAGAAGAGGAAGAAGAAGGGAAGGGAAGGGAAGATAAGACAGGCAATGGCCAGATGGAAAGATGAACGGGTTCCGGTGGAGATGAATGGATGGATGGGCTAAGGTAAGGGTAACTATGGCTAAGCTTGGATAAAGACCCCTGTGAAATTGGATGCATGGGAAAAGCTGGACCCTTGTATCGTTGGGGAGATTCTTCAGTGGCTTACATAGTACTTTGTTAACTCCTCTTTATCTTGGCTGCTGACTTATACGTAGTTGAATCCTGGAACACCATAAGAAGAAGACACACGGTAAGTCAAGGGTTGAGGAAGAGGTGAAATCAAAATCAATGCAATTAGGTTAAACAATGAACTTTGGCACATAGTTATTACTCCAGAAATCTGGGGCTTGGCAACGCTGGTAACTGACGTGTTTATGGTCATATAACACGCTGAAGTTTCTATCCACATGGTGCATTCCCCCGCGCAAAGTCAAACCCCCGACCTACAATTCGAAAACCAATGATGACACCTAACAAGCAACACTCAACTTGATAGCTCCAGACCACCATGGCAGACGTGCTTCAGAGCTAATCCATGTCTGGGTGCCTAGGTAATTGTTAGTTAGACCAGTTCCACTAAATTGAACAATCCTCCTCTTCAGTCACTCCACTGAAGACAAGCTGTACTTCCCCAAGACCCCAACAATGCCCTACGACACCCCCGGTCGTAATCACAAAGACAAAGTTACGGACCGACACTTATTCCGTGTCCTTCTCACGTCCTCGACGCGCGCGTCTTCCGTTAAGTGATTCACGATTCGCTACCAGAGTTTAACGATAGGTTATATTCTTGGTCTTGAAATTTCCGATCCTCCTATTTTGTTGTATTGAACACTCGCCTACTCCAACACTATCCCTACGTAACGTATTCTAATCCGTATTATCGTTGTGTCCATACCATTCGATCCGTCCCGTAACAACGACCCTGCTTCCGGTTCTATTCCATCACATTCATCATGAATCCTCAGATGGCCCAGCAAGGCCAAGGCCAAGGCCAGCAAGCTGGTGCTGGTCAGGCACAGCCACGTCCACCACCTATGTATCAACCCAACCAGATCAGGAACCTTCCAACATTGAGTGACGAGGAAAAATCCAAGTACGAGGCCGGATTGCAGGGTCTTTGGAACAAAGCCAACAACTCTCCCCAGAACAGCCCGGAGCACATTGCTGCCCGTCAAAAAATCATAGAGTTCTCGAAGATGCTCATCACAAAGATCCAGCAAAGACGATCCCAGCAAATGCAAGGACAGAATGCCCAGAACCAGCAGGCTCGCCCTCAGCAAATGCAACAGAACGCTGCTGGGCAGGCAAATCAAGCACAGCCTCAGCAACAGGCTGCGGGGGCTGCTGCGGGTAACCAAGCCGCCGCTGCTGCTGCTGCTGCCGTTCGACGAAACCCAGTCCCCGATCATATCCAACAGCATGTTAATAAGATCAATTTTCGAGCTCCTCAGTCAGTCGTCGATAAATCCACTGCCGAGGCGACCAAATGGATAGAAGAGATCAAGGAACGCTATACCCGAGCCTTGATGACTATGGATGCTAGCAAACAGAAGGTTGCCCAAATTGATAAAATTATTAACGATAGAGCCGCGGCTGGACAACCATTCAAAGAAGATGAGCTTCGACAGCTACAATTGAAAAAGGACCAGCAGCTCAAAGCCCATTCAGATGCCCACAAATGGGTCGACAGTGTCCGCAAACAACAGGGAAGTCTGCAGGGCACTGGCCAGGCCCAAGCACAGGCTCAGACTCAACCGCAAGCACAAAACTCTGGAAGATTGTCGCAGCAAGGAACTCAGCCAATGCAACAGGCTGCAGCGACACAACAAAATCAACCCCAAGCGCAGCCAAGGCCACAGCAGCAACAGCAACAACAACAGCAACAACCCCAAGCAGCGCAAACCCAACCTCAAGCGGCTCAGCAACAGAACATCGCGCAAACTAACACTGCCCCTGTTAACGCAGCTGTCGAGGTTGCTAAGCAGCAGTTAGCTGCCGTGAGTCGGGCTTCCCCAGTCAACGGAACACCTGGAACAACACCAGCGCAGGTACGTCCGACGCAAGGCACACCTCAACCAGGGCGCCAGCAACTACCAGCTACGCAAGTTCAGGTTAAACAAGAACCTGGTGCTGCTCCCATAAATCCTGCGATGGCTTCGGCAGCTGCACAGAATCAGGCTGGGACGCCAACCCAGCAGAACGCTCCACGGATTCCTACGCCCCAGCAAGCGGCGGCGGCTTCCGCTCCAGTCACGGCGGCGGGTCCTCAGCAGGCTCTCAGTCACTCAGCTGCGATGGATCTTGCAAACCAGAAGGCTATTAACACTCCAGGAAGTGCCTCAGTGCCTGGCCGGCCTGCCGCAGCTGGAACACCTACACCAGGCAGTGCAGTGAATCAAGGAGTGATGGGACCCAACGTTCCCCAGCAACCAACACCGCAAGGTCATCCGCATGCACATCCTCCACAACCTCAACAAACGCCAATGCAGTCTAAAATGCCTATCCCCAAGATGCTTCCTGAAAAGGCCACAGCCGTGCCTCAAGGTGTTTCGGTTGGTGGCGGCGTGAACACTGGTCGGCCTACAATGTCTCAAGGAAGCGGAACCCTGGGCGGCGTGATGAACCAACCGGCTATGGCTAGAATTCCGGCCTACAACCACGAAGCTGAAGGAGATCACGTTTTGAGTAAGAAAAAATTGGACGAACTTGTTCGGCAAGTATGCGGAGGCCCGGCCGAGGGGCAGGATGGAAACCTGCTCACTCCTGAAGTAGAAGAGGTGAGTTTATTCGCCTACTGCAGTTGAGATGAAATGGCTAATTTAGTCCCAGAACGTCCTGAACATGGCAGACTCTTTTGTTGACAGTGTCCTTCATGCGGCGTGTCGAAACTCAAAGGAGCGCGGTTCGAAGGTACTTGAGATTCGCGACATCCAACTTGTCCTGGAGAGAACTTACAACATTCGTGTCCCTGGATACTCGTCTGATGAGCTACGTACTGTCCGCAAGATTCAGCCGTCTACTGGATGGATTGCAAAAATGAGTGCAGTCCAGGCGGCGAAGGTCATGCCTGGCAAGGGTGAATAATGGTCTGACCCTTTAGTGGTTATGAGAAGGTATATCCGCGAACAAAAAGAACACTGGACATGATACAATTTGTGTTTTGCAAAAACAGGCGTTGGGTGTATACCCGGAACAGATCGGCGTCAAGGGGTATTCGTTTTGGCATGAAGCTATTCTCAGAAAGAAGGTAGGGCCAAGATACATGAGTTGCTTCTCTCGCATGCAAGAGTTGGCCTTGTGGGTTATGATACAAATAATATAAGCCTACCTAAGTATGACTCGACACTTGCTATAGTCCTTAAACTTGAAGTGTCGCCAAATTGCCATGCCTTTCTTGCCAATATCATAAGAAGAGAGGTCTTGGACCCTTACACATTTATTCAGCTAAGCGACACTATTTGCATATCCGTTTTTTTGGCTAAGGAGACTTTTCGCCATTATTAAAAGCTACTCTGCAGTCTCATCACTTTATCACTGACACCTACCTTTTAGTCTAATAAAGATTGCAAGTGGCTAGCATAATGTTTGCATAACTTACATAGGTCATCGCGATATCCGCAAGTGGAGGTTGTGCAAAAGAGGCTGCAGGCAACATCGAAACGTCACTGCTCCTAGCCCCACAAGGTGCCAGCTTATTAAGAATACCTGAGTGGTACAATGAAGTGCTGCAAGATAAGCCGTGAAAACAAGTACCCTTTCAGCCATCGCCTCAGTTGCCCACTGGCCAGTTACCAAGCCCCGGTTCCATTTGGTGAGCTAGCACGAGCAAGCAACCAGCAGCATCACCTTGAACCTCCCTCAATCCATTACAGTACCAAACTCCCCACGACGACCACGGTCTTAATTCCTTCTTCAAAGCGTGTCTTGTTCTCTCGACCTCGGCACCCTATACTGTTGAAGCCAACACCCTCCAGGCACAGCCAACTCAGCACCACGACAAGCTGAGGCGCGCGCACGACTTACGGGGTCAACAGTATTCTCCCACTATCGTCATCAACAGCTTCTGCAGTTTCAGCATCATATTTTTGCAGTATATACGAAGAAGCCCATCGTCATGCCCAGCAAGACGCCAAACAACAACGGCAAGAAGCCTGCCGGGAACAACGTTCAGAAAAACAAGGACGTGGAGATGACGGACAGCACAAAGCCCAAGGGCAAGAAGTCCGCCAAGGATGGTGATGAAGAGATGACCGTCGTTGTTCCTCCTTCGAAGTCGAAAAAGTCTGACAAGGCAGCGGCCGACGCTGAAGGTGATGTGTCAATGAGCGAAGAAGAGGAAGAGGCCAAGGTTGACCCTGTAGCACAGACTATCGCAGGTCAGTAGTTGTCGTCGGAGCTTGACGGGTTCAAGCCCAACAGTCACTAACATGTCTTTCTCAACGCAGATATCAAGAGCAATTTTGCTTTGATAGACCGTGCGGTTTCACTTTTCGACGCCAGATTCTCCCTCCGCGCCTTGCGATCTATCTCCATCATCCGCAAGCGTTTGACCCCCGATATCATTGCACAGGTCATTTCCGAGGCTTTCCCAGCTACCGCCAACTCGAGTGCTATTGTTAAGCCGCTCCTTTCTGCCATTGAGCGCGAGGATGTTACCCTTGGTCGACAGAGTGGTTCGGAGATGGAAATCGACGAAGCTAAGGCGTCTGGCAAGACCGGTGCTAAGAAAGAAGCCAAGGAACCCATTCCTGAGATTGATATTTTCCTTGGTATTCTTGTCCAGGTCTACCTCTTTGACTCGAAGCAGTTCCAACGCGGAGTCGACTTCTCCAAGTACCTTTCGGACAGGGTCCAGTCTCTCAACCGCCGTACACTCGACTCTTTGTCTGCCAAGGTCTACTTCTACTACTCCATCTTTTGCGAGCACATCGCACCTCTTCCCCCTTCTCCTCAGTCCCCCGTCGTCGCTATCCGACCAACTCTCCTCGCCGCTCTTCGAACCGCCGTGCTACGAAAGGATGTCGACACACAAGCCTCGGTTATTGTTCTACTGCTGCGAAACTATCTATCAACTTCGCACATCAACCAGGCTGATCTCTTGGTTTCGCATACCCAGTTCCCCGAGAACGCTGTTAATAACCAGGTAGCACGATTTCTCTACTACCTCGGTCGCATCCGAGCTATTCAGCTACGCTACACCGAGGCTCATGAGCATCTCACTGCTGCCACTCGAAAGGCCCCTTCTAGCAGCTGCGCGCTTGGCTTTGCTCAGACAGCGACTAAGCTACTCTATGTTGTTGAGCTATTGATGGGTGATATTCCTGACCGAGCTATGTTCCGACAGCCAACAATGGAAGTCGCTCTCCAACCTTACTTCCTCCTGGTCAAGTCGGTCAGAGTTGGAAATCTTGAGGACTTTGAGACAGCCATTGCCGATCATGCCGATACCTTCCGACGAGATGGCACCTACAGCCTCATCCTCCGTTTACGACAGAACGTTATCAAGACGGGCATTCGTATGATGTCTTTGTCTTACTCTCGCATCTCTCTTCGTGATATTTGCATCCGCCTGCATCTTGGTAGCGAGGAGTCGGCTGAGTACATTGTTGCTAAGGCTATCCGCGACGGTGTGATTGAGGCTACCTTGGATCGCGAGAGGGGTTTCATGAAGAGCAAGGAGGTCGGTGACGTGTATGCTACTCGTGAGCCGGGTGAGGCGTTCCATGACCGAATTCGAGCTTGTTTAGCTCTCCACGATGAGAGTGTAAAGGTTTGTTTCCCGTTCATTCTTAAGACGGAACCGAGACTAATCAGCACTAGGCTATGCGATTCCCCATGAATCAACATCGTCTTGAGCTCAAGAATGCCCAGGAGGCCCGTGAGCGTGAGCGTGAGATGGCCAAGGAGATCCAGGAAGGTGACTTGGACGAGGATGACCTCGGTGGAGACTTTGATGGTATCTAAACTTTGTATATTGTCTCGGCTTGAGAGCATTCGCTACCTATTGATCAACGCCCGTGGTTCCTCCTTGCCGACATCAGGTACCCTTAGCTGCAGTTCTTTTAATGACCCACTTGGCGCTTAGAGTGACGGTGGTAGTCTGCTGGAATACGGCGATAGAGGGAAATGGTTCAGGTGGTTTGAAGGTCTTACCAAGACTTCAGTGTATGTGTATTAGATGCTTCGCACGGCGGGGATAAATTTAGAGATATGGAATACTTTGTGTGTCTCATTGACGCAGGAATTGAAACGTGCTTTTCTTCAGGGTAGTATTCTAGAAGCAATCCAACTGCTTCTTTCTCACGAGGATCTCTCCAGGTAACGGCAAGGATACTTTTGCTTAGCCTGTGGTCTATCCAGACAGGAATATATTATATTTTAATGTAATCATTTCTAACAAATGGGGAGCTGGCGCAACGGTAGCGCGTCAGATTCCAGCTATTAAGCATGGAGATTCCTGAAGGTTATCGGTTCAAATCCGGTGTTCCTCATATTTTTTGTATTTTTACTCAAATTCTCCCTAACTATTCCTTCAACTTGTACACTCTTTTTAAATCAAGTTTTCTTTAATAAACACTACTAATTCTTTTTCTGCTATTTATTGCCTATTATCTTATTTTAGTTATATATTCTATTTATCTATTTATATATAAGGAGAAGTATACAAAAGCGAGCTGCTGCATGGCTTTTATGTGCAGGGTTAGTATCATAGTAATGCCACTCTGACTGACATCCTTGTAACCTATGCTTCTTCAGCAAAGCAGAAGGTAAGCTGAGATTATATGGAGTAGGGCTCTATGGCACACCTACTTGTCAATCTTGCGCCCTTAGATCGACAAGTGTGGGTCATATCCGTGGTTGCCTTACATGCTGCATGATCCAAGCCTCGATCCAGGATCTTTAAACGTCCACTTTGTTTATATCCGACCAGTATCAAATCGATATGTATACAAACAAACACACAAACACAAGGCGCTGGGAACATCGACCGAGCTTGAGAAGTTAGGAGTGGACGACAGATGATTACAGTGTTGTTCTCGCCTTGATGATTCATATCATTTTGCTCAAGACTGGACGACATCCTCAGACTCAACGTCAAATCGTGAATATTTTGATGGTTATTCATGTCAGTCAACTTATACCTACCTTACTCCGGCTCAAAAATTGGAAGCGTGTGATCATCAGTCCTATTCACGGCCCTTTCCTGAACACAAGTGGAGGTCGCCAGAAGCTGATGGAAACACCCAAGGACATGTTCAAACTTTGAGATGAGGTTGACTCACTCGGCAGACAAGTCGCCAATTGTATACTGTACAGAATACGCCCTGCGCTTGACAAGGCTTGGACCAGCTGCAAGGTCCCCTTGTAAGTTTTGTTGCAGAGCCTTCGGTAAGGCTGAGCTTAACTCATTGTGTATATAAGAGACTCGATAGGAATAGTGGGAGTCCTTCTTCCTTCTCATATCACACACAAGCCTGAATTTGCTGTGCACTTACAAGTCCACCAAAAAACCTGAATCCAAAATCGCGAGCTTGGAAATGGCTTCCGCTACCGAGCTTCGGCCTATCCAGCCGCCCTCATTTTCAACACATCAGCACGCAACACCATCTTTGCCTTCCTTGCCATCGACTAAGTACCATGATAAGGTAGAAATGGACCTGGCTATTCATCTCGCGACACTCTGCCGCAAGAGCCTCGTCGACCTCAACTCTCCTCTTCCAGACTTCAAACCTTCTCATCCTTTCACTGCAGATGAAATCGTTTCTCTGCCGCTGGATAAGCATCGGATCGACGATGCCCTTCATGACCTCCCTCGGCGCAAATCTGCTCGTCATAATCTGGCCGTCGCTATTTCTTCCTTTTTGTACCCTGTGCACCAAGGTTCGTTAACGGCCATCATACGCTACGAGGAAGACCGTGTGCGACTCCGTGCTTGGGCTGTCTTGCAGCGACGGTACGACATGCTGAAGGCCACTGTTCGCAATGGTCATACCACCCGTGGCCTTTCCGGCGGTGCTGCCCCTGGTGTCCAGGCGCCTGTTTGGGCCTCCCGTATCACATCACAGGGGGTTTGGGACCCTGCTAAGCATCCCATTTCTCTTGGAGGTGTGCCAGCAATCCCTATGCCTGTTGAGATCGCCCACGAGGCTGATCTTGCGCCATTCCTGAACCATCTTGGGGGTGGTGGCACTTCCAAGCTGAATGGTGACGAGAAAGGCTTCGAACTGGATGGTGGACGAGGTGAACCTTACTATGGTGTGAAAGGCGCCGAGTTCCGCAAAGGCGTTGTCTATGAGGATGGACGTATGGATCTCTGCAAAATGGTCGTTGGACCTGATCACATTGGTAAACTGATGGACTCACTTCGACCCAATGAGTTTGTACGCCACTTCCTCCTGGGCAATAACATCATCGGCCCTGTAGGTGCTCATGAGATCGCCAATTTCATCCACGACCTTCCTGGACGAATTGATACTTGGTATCTCGCTGGAAACTGCATCGACGGGCCCAGCTTCAATATTCTTGTCGATGCCATGATCAAGTCTGATGCCATCACCAATATTTGGTTGAAGCGAAACCCACTTGGGTCAGATGCCTCCGAGGATGTCTATCGACTCATCACTGGAGTTCAGAATTTGCGAACTCTCGATCTCGACCAAACTCAGCTCGGCGACCGAGGAGTTGCGGACCTGTTCAACCGCTTGGCAGGTCACGAGATGCCTGAGGGTATGAAACTACCCCTGAAGCATATCTATCTCAATGGCAACGGCATCTCAAATGAGGGTGCACAAGCTATTGGACAATTCCTCTTGACTCCGCACTGCGGCTTGACTTCCATTTACATGTCATCAAACCCCATGGGGGATCCTGGTGCAATTGCCCTTGCTCAAGCACTACCTAAGGCACCGTATCTGACTCGATTGCTCTTACAATCGATTGGAGTCAGCACCAAAGGTGCCGTTGCGCTGTGCAAGGCTGCTACTGGTCATCCCACTCTCGAGGTGTTTGATCTTGGACAGGCTTATGTCACTCATGATCTCGGGCAGGCCTACAACTACATCGAGGATGATGCCGTGACTGCCATTCAGCAGCTTATCTTGGCTGAAAGCCATCTGTCCTATCTGAACTTTGGGCATATGGCAGTGGCACCTCCGGCAATCAAACTCATTTCAGAGGCAGTACTCAAGAGCGCGACGCTCGTGTACTTCGCGGCCTACCCAATTCTGCCGGATCCAACCCTCAAGGCCGGAACCTTCAGGCCAGCGGTTGACACAACTTTCGCCAACCCAGCTGAGCCGACCAGGCCGCAGGTTCTGATGAGCAAGGCTGTTCAAGAGCATCTTGCTGCCAATGTCAAGACTCGGTATGGCGAGGAAACTTCGTACAACCAGTTCATGGAGGAGGACAGGCGCTGGTTGGTAAGCGATAAGACTGATGTACGCAAAATCGACAGTGTGTATCGTAATCGCGATGCTGGTCTCGCCCGTCGCCGACTCCTGACTCTGGTCAAGAATTGGGAGGAGGGTGATGAAACCCTTGACCGTGTCATGGCAGCTCATGCACCAACTTGCTCTTTGCGTCGACACCGAGTCACAAAAGGGGTTGAGGAGCGCTTGCTTACTATTGCCTGACTCCACGAGTCTATTTCAATTTTCGATTTTTTTCCTTCGTTGTTTTGTTGGAACGTGAACTGGAACTGAGTGGAGGATAGAGGAGGGCACTTGCTCAACTAACTTCAAGATGAACTTATTCGCTCCTTTGAAATGTTGTTATTGTTGTTCTAAGGAACCCACAAATAAAATTGAGTACGTTAAAATATGCCCGTTCTAACATCATGCTGTTGTGTTCTTGAGAAATAATGCGTTATGATAAAAGACTGTGGTACTGTTGACGGTAACAAGTAAACTGAACACCATGAGATAAGGTAAAGGTATGTTACCCAATAGCTGTAGCACGTGATAGACGTGATTGTGATATGATAGGAAGCATCCGCAACGATTGCCGTATCCCCCGCGTCGCGTCTTGCCCATGCCATGCCCACCCGTCCATACCTACCTTAGTACCTTACCTACTATAGTAGCTGTAGATCTGATCGCATGACCTTGCCTTTCTCTTAAAATAACTCATGAACCCAATGTCGAATCAGCATTAAAAGATATATATTTTCTAGTCGTAAATAAACCATATTTCTACGTGTGTAACTTCTCAATCGATAAAAACCAAAACAACCTGCCAATACCTCCATTTTGGCTCATCGACCCCAACTTATTAGTAGTCTACCTCAACTCCACGTTCAAGTCCTAGTGCTCTTCCATACATACGCAAGCTCTAAGCTCTACCTATTAACCACCACATTCCCAAATAGAGGCTCGTACAGCGATGCCTCAAAAGCGCAAGCGACCAGATCAAGATCCCCACGAACAAGAATTGTTGCCCGCATCCGCACTCAAACCAACCTCTTCTGACTCTCAATCAAAATCCACCAGCGCGCGTCGGGCGACGCGTCAAACCCCAGTCATTCCACCAACACCACCAACACCAGTGACGCAACTACAACCACAACTACGCACAGAAACGGCTGTACCGCCTCCTATAATACCTACACTATCATCAACTTCTTCGAAACCAACAACCTCTCCAGAGCAGAAGCGTAGTCGTGCCTCCAACGGTCGTCCTCAGCCACCTCCATCGCAACCCACGGCGCAAAGTCAACACCCTCCTTCTGTGCTGCGATGGGCTCCGCTTGAACAGCCAGGCCCAGCAGTAAGGCCTCCCCCTCACCATCTCTATCCGACAACGATGGCAGCCATGCCCCCACCTCGGCCGATTGCCGCTGGTCGTCCACCGTCAGACTTGGTTGCGCCTGAGATCACCTATCATGTGCCCCAGTCGCATACAAACTCATTCCAGCGGACCTCAGCTCTTGTCCGACCTCATGGCCCTACGGCACAACCACCACGTATACTCGAACGACCGCCGCCTCCCACCGTCACACCAGTACACCCTCCGAAGCCCCCTGTGGCTCCCTCTGTACGTCCGCCTCTCCGGGCCGATCGCAACATTGATAAAGTCGTGTTGGGTAATATGTGCTTCAGTACGTGGTATCCTAGCTACTATGGAAAAGAAGTGCTTGGGGAATCATCAGGCAATCTAGGCAAGACAGGCAGCAAGGACTTGGGGGCCAAGGATCAAGCTACAGGCGGCAAATCATCATCCCGGCGGGATCGCGAACATCACCCAGTAGTTGATCGCCTCTACGTGTGCCCTAGCTGCTTCAAGTACTCCAAGGAATTGGTTGCTTGGTGCCATCACGTCCATGTGTGTGAAAGGAAGGCTCAGATACCCGGTCGGAAGGTATACGTTCATCCACGGGGGCGTAGAAAGATTCTTGCCCCCCACGACAACAAAACCTCTGGGCCTAAAAGACGGAAAGGGGAAGGAAACATTCGGTTGGTAGAGGAGATCGTCCAGGATGAAGGAGAATGGAGCATTTGGGAGGTTGATGGTGAAAAGGACGGGGTACGTTGACACATCATGACAAGTAGAGCCGCAATGCTAACTTTTGCTCTCAGCTCTTTTGCCAGAACTTGTCGCTCTTTGCAAAGCTCTTCCTCGACAACAAATCCGTCTTCTTCGATGTCACAGGCTTTAACTACTTCCTACTTGTTTACACACCTCCGACTCGATCCTTACAGACTGCAGCCAAGCCTGAGCCCCCCTCGCCTCGAATTACGGGATTCTTTTCGAAGGAGAAAATGTCATGGGATAATAACAACCTCGCTTGTATCCTTATATTCCCCCCATGGCAGCGAAAGGGTCTTGGTGCGTTGCTGATGGGGGCCTCGTACGAGATCTCTCGGCGGGAAGATATTCTGGGCGGGCCGGAGAAGCCAATTTCTGATCTCGGCAAGAAGGGTTACAAGCGTTACTGGGCGGGCGAAATCGCGAGATGGCTATTGACCATCAATATGAACTCAAAGACGCCCGAGAACGAGGTCCTCGTGGATCTCAACGACTGCAGCAAGGCAACATGGATTCTTCCCGAAGATTGTCTCCAGGTGCTGCGAGATATGGGTGTTGTCGAAGAGGCCGGTTTGGGCCCAAGCAAGCCTGAGGGAAAGCCTGTCGCCGAAGCGGGGATTGAGGAGAAGAAAGGCGAAGAAACGACAAGGACATCGCCTGCTGCTGACGGAGCAGTCAAAGAAGAAATGGTGCCAGTCGTCAAGATGGTGCCACGGGTGCGGATAGACAAGCAGGCGGTTCGTCGATATGTGGCCGAGAATCGGATAAGTCTAGAGCGCATGTGTGATCCTGCTGGGTTTGTCGAGGGCTACGCGATCAAAGCACCCGAGATAGTGGAAGAAGAGGTCGACGAGGCAGAGGAGTGATGGACTCGAGATATTGTCGTTGTATGATGTACTGACATGTACCTATAGATTAGACGCTTCGGCGATAGTGATACCCATGCTCGAATTAAATGAGCTTCCTCTCATCATCATCATGATTTTTTCAGTATTTTTGATCTACGTAGATCATCGGAGTCCTCTGTTCGCTTTGTTCTTCCTCGAGAATCATATTTTTATGCCACAACCCTGGTGTAAGTTCCAAGGGACTTGATCATGCAATTGAGCCCCTGCAACTGTTGGGATATACATAATATGTCGGGATGGATGTTGACTACTGTCATGTCATTTTTCTCAGGTCGTGCCGAGGTCGAACGGAAACCCGTTCTCGATGCGGTCGGAGGCACTCAGCATGGAAAGGGGGCTCAGAATTTGCGTCAGGGAATTCAGAAATGCTGTTCTTATCGTGATTGAGACTTCCGACGCGTATTGGGATGGTATATCAAGGGCAATGGCTCTGAAATGACCTTTGGTCTCATAACCAACTCTCGATAACCATCTTTGCCCGATCTGATGAGCTTTCCCAAAAAGGTAAAGAGCTTAGCCAAGCCTGTCGAGTTTCGCACAGGGTCAACTTTTTTCAAGCCCGTCCCGATTTTGCCCTTTTTCAACAGTGCGAGTCCTACCATTGGAATTGACACCCCCCCCTTGGGCCGAAAACTTTTCGTCAAGTCAGCGACTTTTACAGTGCCTCCCTAGGCAATCTCTTAGGCCCTAGTTGCCCCAGACTCCCAAGTGTTGTCCATTGCAGATTTGAGATTCAAGATGAGATGTGAAATATGGGGAGCACTCCTCTTCTCATAGACGTGGTATAGGCACAAGGCTGGAACTACTAACATACAGTGTCAGTCGTTGTTTTAACACGCATTTGATAGACATTCTGTGGCTGCGGAAGTGGTTATTTCAGTTTCAGCGCAACTTGACCTCTTCATGCTTTCAAGAACCTTAATAATTGGCCGATCGGTGTGTTCTTTGCAGCATGGAGGATACAAGCGGTGTCATATTATCGTCAAAAAAGATATTGCCATAAGGCTCATTGCCGTCCGTAAGACTAGACAGACGGATGAAAGTGTTTAGATTGAGTATTGCAGTCAAAACGGCAATACTTGTCACTTCAGAGCTTCCTGGCTTTCTTCAGCCTCGCTGTCGTGCCGTGCAATTATTGCATGAGGTTGAAGGCTGCAGCCACCCGTTGCCGGAATCTGTTGCCTCTCATTTGATTCGCGCACTGTCCTCACTCATCGATGGTCAAACCTAAATTTGATCTGGGCTGTTTGATCGAGCTGGAAAATTTTTCCTTTTGCCCAACGATAGCTAAAGGTCGGATCCACTATCATGTCCCAGCTTTCAGTGAAACCATGGTACGGATATATTTATATGGTATACCACTTTGATATATATGTAGCATTGTTTAGAGAGCGTAAGATCAAGAGACGGTCGTCTATTCGCCCACGATTGTTGAGAAAATCCAACTCAACTCAATGATCGAGGCTACGAGGTGAGAAAGGAGGCATGTTCAGCGGCCGCTTCCACGATGCGATCAAGAAACCCAACACAAATGGTTGATATTGCAGCAACCTGAACTTGTCGAGACACGAACCATTTGTAGAAGTCTTTTTTTGCAGTTTTTATTTTGGTCCCCTCCCTCACAGAATTGCCTTTGCCTTTACTTTACAGTATCAAATCCATCCTTCGAAGAGTCTCTCACCATCCACACACGTGGAAAACTCGTTCCTTGATTCGCCCATTAGGCCCTTCAAAAGCCACGAAGAGATGTCTCAGCTCGTACTGTGTCTCGTCACTGTACGTATCGCGTTCTCTGTAGGTAGATGTGCTACGCTTTGCTCATGCCCAATGGCCAATCAAATTCAGATCTCGGCAACATCCACTGTCCAGGTACCAGCACAACGTGCTCTGATATCAATTCTGTTGTCATCCTGTTCTAGCCTTGGCTAGACAAGCGTCAGCACTGTAATGGTACCTCGTGTCATCAAGATAAAACTTCTTGATGACTTTAAGACAAGCTGCTTTTCATAATTGGGCGATTTTTTACCATTTCAATGGTTTTGTCCGAATAAAGGCGACCTCAATCAGTTACTTGTTTAGATGATACCTCTCATTCAAGCTCCTGGCTGTATTGTCTCGGACATCCGGTAGGGCCGTCGTTGTCCGTTGTCGCAGAACATCTTTTTTAGTCTTAGCTGTAGGGGTTCTTGTTGTTCCGGCTTTGTCCCTCCTTCGTACCGAGATTTCACTCAATGTTGCGCGTTCCATCGCCGGCCCAACCCATTAGCTGGCGCTCATTGTAGCCCTTCAACCATGATTCATGGTCCACCGCCAAGTGTGTCCCTCCGACTGTAAAAGCCTCAGGCCTGAAGGTCTCCCAGTCCTTCCAGAGCAATCACAGCTCAGAATTGTTGTATCTCGCTCCACCCGATTCCCTCCGATGGCTAAGCAGCCCGTGCAGAGCTCAATCCCCTTGCCTAATTCGCACCCGTGATATCATCCCCATTCCCATCATTTTCCAGCGCTTCTGGACTGCTGAATAGCGGGCAAATATCTTGTTTGTGGGAGGTTTTCGTCTGTTCAAGTTCGTGCCCAAGTCATATTCTCACCCGTATTCGCCATAAAACTTATATCTCCCATATTCATCGTCGTTCCCTTCTTCCCACCGTTGCCCCGGCTGACATCCTCACCCCCCTGACAATATCCACCCGTGTGGGCCCACCTATCCTCACTTTCTTCCCGGCTCCAGACGCTCTCTCTTCCCTTTTCCTTTTCCCACTACCGTCCTATCTCGTGCTGAGCTCCGTATCTCTTTTCTTTAAACCTCCCATCAGCCTCTCCCTCTTTCAAACATCAACCATCTCCCCTCACACATCAATCACAATGGCCTCTTCTCGTGTCTTCGCCTCTCGCCTGGCCTCCCAGATGGCCGTCAAGGCCGCTCGCCCTGCTGTCCGAGCCCCCGTCGCTGCTGCCAGCAAGCGAACCATCTCTGGTAAGTTTCTGATGCGGCAAAAAATTTTCTTCGAGCTCAATTGAGCTCGGTGTCGAACCCGACTCGATCGAACCTCGCCCATCACGATGAATGAACAATTCGCTCACAATCGATTCAAGGCGCCAGCCCCCTCCAGGCCATGAAGCGTCAGACTCTTCTCCAGGCCACCAGCCGCAACGCCTTCCAGGTCCAGCGCCGTGCCTACTCCTCCGAGATCGCCCAGGCCATGGTTGAGGTCTCCAAGAACTTGGGTATGGGTGCCGCCGCCATTGGTCTTACTGGTGCCGGTATTGGTATCGGTCTCGTCTTCGCCGCTCTCCTCAACGGTGTTGCCCGCAACCCTGCCCTCCGTGGCCAGCTCTTCTCTTATGCCATTCTGGGTTTCGCTTTCGTTGAGGCCATCGGTCTTTTCGATCTGATGGTTGCCCTCATGGCCAAGTTCGTAAGTCAATTCCCTATTCTCGCACTTCTATTCCCTTTCGAGCATGAACTAACATTCTCCACTTCAGACCTAAGTTATTTCCCGGCCAATTGGGTAGGCTCGTGCCGAATGATCGAGTCAACGAGACAGAGGAGGCTGCTGAGCGTAGTGCATTGTGCCATGTCTTGAAAAAATTGACCTGGGTGCGCTTGATGCCAGCTTGCACGAAAGAGGGGAGGTTGTCTTGTAATAGACGGGATAGAGATCTGGGAGTGACATTGGTCATAGGCACTTTCCTATGATTATAGTTGGGGAAATTCTGCATAATTCCTCCCAGTGATCGATTTGTAAAATAAAAAGCCTCATTCATCCCGTTTCTTCCAATGCATATGATATTTTCCTTGTTCCATCATCACATATGGCATGGTTTATCTGAAAGCCGTGACTTCACGTATTCGGTGTTCCAACTGACGTCTCAATTGACTTTCAGTCGATGACATCGTTCCGAGTAGCTCTGTTTGTTGCATGGCAGTTGTGAACATGAGGCATTTGCTGAGCTCCCGTGGGCCGGTGCCGGGGGTTGGCGGGCTAGCCGGGCAGGTTTGAAGACACTGCTCTTCCAGCTTAACCGAATTGACCCGGGGCCTGACCATGGTCTGTAACACACAGTGGCTCTCTCAGTGTTTGGTGCCTGCGTTTCAAGGCACACAACTCAGATCGAAGTTTCTTCATGATATGGAAAACTCTCCACACGGTGTAAATTCTACCCTCGCTAGCGTCTGTCGCTAGCCGTAGCGCCCAGCGAAGACCAATGGGGCGGGCATGAGCGAGTCGTTCGAGTGGGTTAAGAGCAACTGAATGATCCGTGGGATTTGATAGTGGAGCTGCTGTGAGGGTATGTAAAGAAACGCAAACCCACCTAACGACAATGCCACAAGCTGATCTGGAGTGATCGCTGTGAATACTGGTCGAGATGCAATGCTATCAAGCTCCAGCACAGTCAACATACCACTTCCGACAGGTTTCTCTAGAAGAGTTTGACGACTATCGAGTGGCATGATCTCCATGAGTATTGCTAAAACTTCAACAATTGACCTCTGATCATTTGCACCACATGGCACTGACAACAGCCCGGGCGAAACGAACGAAAGCATAGACGGCGGAGTCCTGTGCAAAATGCTTCTATCGCAGTCGAGGTTTCGAGGACGGTCAGGGCGGCGTATCGAACGAAGTGATACCGCGAGCTCGACTGGGCACCGATATGTGGATTACACGGCAAATGGACGCGCGATGTATTGCACAAACGAATTTGCTATCAACACTTAAACATGGGGCCACAGACATTTTCCGGGCTCGGAAGGATAGTAGGTTGAACAGCAGACGATGTGAACGACAACATGCCAGGGATATCCGGGGACATTGGTGAGAACGTGTTCAAGTGAACAGCGACATTAGGGACGCTCTAGTATGGATCGGAGGGTTGGGAAATCCTTCGTCGAAAATGTACCAGCGTCGATGACTAAATGTGCGTTTTGCTGTCGATACGCACATAGGGGTATGGGCTCTTGTCTGCACGCTCATTTCTGTTCCCGATTCGCTTGTACTGAAGGGGCAGGAAGGTTCGGGCTTTGCTGGGAGTATGGAAAAAGAGAACTTTATCACAAACCTGGATAAAGAATTATATGTCCATGGTGAACTCTCTGGGAGAAGATATGCTTCTGTCTGTCTGTCTATCTGTCAGTATGCCGTGACGGGACCATTCGTCTCCAAGGTCCTGCTTTGACTTACTTGATAGAATATCGTGTGCTTTGGCTCAGGCCCACTCGACTCCACCGTTGTGGGAGGATTTTTGTCGTTCTTGATGGTGTAAGTCGCTCAAGGGCCGCAACGAAACTCGATACGGGCATAGCGAGTTGGGAATCAACAACACCAACGAGAAAGAAACAGAAGGGAAGAAAGAGACATGAATGCTGCATCTTGGGTTTCATCCCGTCTCTTTCCCCTCACTTGGAATCACATGACCTGCTGGTCTTGCCTGGCCACTTGCCGCTCTGTTGTGTCGAAGGCATAGGCCACATCATCGACGTGATTCGGAAATCAAGGCTTGCTCGGGGAACAGCGGATGCAGACGACGGTAGTGATGTGCGTGTGCTTGAGACATTTGAGGTCTGTTGTCGTCGTTCTTCTCATCGTGCCTTGTGTGAAATAGAGCGAAACTGGGTTGGCGGAAGTAGCGGCAAGACGAGGACAAAGATGCAAAAGGCAAAGAAGAAACAGAGTAGGGGTTCCAAGGGTTGGTCCTATTGTTATTGTCAAAGCCAGTTTTTGAGTAATGCCACGGCGACAGAGTGAGATTATCCGAGTCACAAAATGAGGGGAAGTCAACGCCGTGGCTGCCGTGCAAGAGATGAAGGGGGCAATCAGCCGAATAGGGTCTCCTGCATTTGGCAGGAACAGCCTCTGGATGGCACCTTCCCGTTTCCTGCGATTGGCCATTACCACCCATCCATGCCGCGTTCCTTGGACGTTGGGGTGCCATCGGCCACCATCCAAGCCGTCAGCAGAACCCAAATGGACGCGTAGTGGTTGTGATTTGTCAAAGCGCAAGGGGCAAGGACATTCTAGCCTACGATTGCCATTTAAAATCTTTTAGCTTGTGAAACTATGGTGCTGTGAATACCTTCAAATTTGCTATTGCCCAGTATAATGATTTATATGTCTTCTCACGCGACAATTCTCAATATTATTTGCATTAAGGTCGGCAGTTATTACGGTCAGAAGCCATTCAAAGCGGGGAAACTGGAAAATCCGGGGTAATTAGGGCACGGGTAACCTTTGCCTCCCTTCCGTAGTGGAGCTGCATTATCGTATCGTGTC